GAGGGGAACTCGATTGAGTCAGGTGCACTTGACGGTTATGCCTTCTGTTCTTATTCTCCCAGTGGCTGCTCTTAAAACAAATACTTAGGTTTTTCAAGAGTTTACTGAATTGATCCACACTGTCGCCTCCCAGCAGCTCAGCACCCACACTAGCCCAGTGTCTCAGCCCCGGGCTGCTGAGTTGGGCCTTGTCTGGGTGGAGCCCGCTGACTCTGCCCAGGGTGAGCTTGGTCCGGGGTGGTTCATATCCGATGGTTTTCCTCCTACAGGGTTTCAGGGGATGGTGTGTTGCACCGGAACTTTGTGGGCCTCTGACTGTTTTTCTGATAATTCTACTGGAGGTACAATTTATTTTTCCCCAACACGAAGTCCTTGCCCTGCCACCACCCTCTGCTGCTAGCCGGCTCTTCTTCCTCAGCAGTCCAGGCTGCAGGAGGCCTCCTGGCTTCACCAGGTATCCCGCAAATGAATCCACCCCATCCGGCGCTGGAAGCCCTCGGATCAATCTGAGGTCCTAACTTTTCTCCAGGGCTCAAGTCTTCAGAAACTGGTTATTCTGAATCCGTGGGCCTCCGTTTATTCCTTTCTTTCCAATGGAACCCTGCATGCAGGTGTCACACGCGAGCTTTCTTCCTGACCCCTTCTTGAGGCCCTGGAGGCTTTCAGCCCTGACCTTGCAGCTCACTAATGATTTTAGCTGTGTCCATTTCTCGTTCTGCCTCCTTACCAACTTCACTTCCCTGTCATTTTTCCTGTGCACCACTCTTCTGGTTGGTTTCCTTTATTTATGCCTGTTATTTCTGGCTTTGTTATTAATATCTGTCCTTGTCACTTGGGCATGTTACGGTTTAAAAAAAAAAATCAATGGTTCAAAGAGAACAAGATTTTGTCTGCTTTGGACCATTCAGTTTGTCTCTCCTGGTGTTTTTCTCCACAGATATCTCAATTTTCCCTTGGCAATACATCCCCTAACACTGCATAATGGTGACCAGGTGTGTGTGTGCGTTGTGTTTGCAAATGTGTGTGCATGCACATGTGCATAGATTTCCAGAGAAAGCTGTGAATTGTCCTGTAATGTTGTCTTAAGGATTCCCGACACAGACCTGAGCAGACACATGCACACACGTGTGCACACACAGACATGCACACACATGTACAGACACAAACGTGCATGCATGCACCGGCATATGGAGCTTGAGACATGTGCACAGGCATACATGACACACACACACACACTCACACGTGCACACGCACATACACATGTGCACACACAATAAACTGTCTGTGTCCCCAGAGTTCTCACCTGCTATGGCAGGTTCTTAGATGGCCAGTCCCCCACCCTGGCATCTCCAAGGTGGGTTTGTTAGAGGTAGGAACCCCCCGACAGGGCCTTCTTATCTGGAGGCTTCAAGGGGAATTCCTAGGACTTGTGTGCTTGGCATCTACTTAAGCTAGATCTTCAGATTTGCAGCAGAAAATGGTTCAAGTGGGAGAGCACCTGCTTAGGAAGCATAGGCCCTGAGTTCAAATCCCAGTGCCACCAAAAAGTAGAAAGGAACAGAAGAATAGAATAGAATGAAATGCTCAGAGCTCTTCCTACTCCTGACACTTTTTTGGTCTCTTTCTCTTATGTGGCCACTTCTAGACATTGTAGGGCATGGCCAGCTGTCTTCCTTGCTGTGGCTGGGACTGCTGGTGGACCCCAATACCCACTCTCCCCTCCTGCCTCAGGGCTCTTAATTTTGTCTGGGCTCCTGGTCTCCCTGAAAAGACCTGACTTGCCAGTTCCCCAGAGCTATGGTTAGCCATGTGGTCGGTGTCCAGCCAAAGTTACAAGGAAACTTTTGAGGGCATATCCTTCAAGGACCCAGGCCAGCCCCTCTCCTGCCCTCTTCTCCTTTCTGTTGTCTGAATGTGGCTGGGCAGGGTCCCAATCGAGGTGGACACCTCTGTGGAGCACGGGCCACTGGCTGGAAGAAGGAGTAGCAGTGTTGCCCATCTCTCTGCAGCTCAGGGACAGAATCAGCTCCCACCTGCCAAACCCACAATTGTTCTAGCATTGTGGTTACTTAAAATCAAATCTAACCTATACCTAACATTTTGTTGAAGGTGACAAAAAGATGTTCTGCTAAAACCTCTATTTTCTGAGCAAGGAGAATTGCAGAAGTGTCCCAACCGGAACTCATATTAACACTGTTGTTTTTCTGAATACAGAAGAAGCAACTTGGCTGCATGATCCCTTTCCCTTTCTCAAGGGGGATATGACATATGGAGCAGCAGCAGCTATCTTGTGATAAAGAAGAACAACTGTATGCTGAGGATGACCAAACACCATGGGTTTCTACAAGTTTTATTCCTGCTCTCAAGACTTTACACACAAGTGAAAAAAGCTATTTGACTAAGCACCACAGTCAGGTTTTCCTTAAACGCAGCTAAGTACAGTTCTATTCCATGCGTCTTTCCTAAACCTTTGTTTTCTGTGTGGCATCCTTCCTAGGACTGCACGATAATGCTATAAATTGTCCTAGGTACCACTTCAGCTGGTTACCCAGTAACTGACCTGCACTGCATCCTGAGTTCCATCTGCCGTTCCTGTTTAGTTACTGTGGAGTGTTCCTTTCAGCTTCTGACCGTATTGTCTCACTTCTCTTGTCTATTTTTTGTAACTTCATCACAGTCAGTAGGCAGGTTCTAAACAACCTGTTCTTTGTGGCCCAGTTTGTTTTTTGATTGTTGTTCTTGTACCAGGAGAATGGCCCTGTCTGGTTAGGGTCCTGTGCTCACCATCAGATCATGAAGTGGTCTAAGCTCTGAGTTCACTGCCAGGCAGGAGGCTGGTGTGGCCTCACCAACCACTCTGTCCATGTATATGCTTTTGTTTGTGCCCCAGCTTCAGTATGCCCACTGCTCTGGCCCTGGGCAGGCATGCTGTGGTCCTCAGGTATGGGGGACACTGGTCAAGCTTGTCTAATTCAGGGATGGATTTCCTAGAACTTTCTGAGCCTGTCTAGCCAGAGTTGTCCTTGGGGGTGGACCTGCTTCCCCACTGGTCCTGCTGGCACCGCCTCTCCTTCCTCTCTTCTGCCAGGTTACATGATCCTCAAAGCTACAGATCTGACTTCTTGGGTGGCTCCAGGTTGGCTGTGATCACAGGGCACTTGTCCGGTGCTCCAGGCAACCTTCACATATTCAAAGCCAGGCAGCTGCTCTGGACTCACTTGCCCGAGCACTGACTCCTCTGCTTCCTTCTTAGTTGCACAGTCCTGCTGAAGAGGGTGGAGCCTTAGGGACAGTCCCCAAGTTGCTCGGCCACCCAGGGCTGCCTTGGTCATGCTGTTTTAGCATTATTGTCAGTAGCATGAGTACTGAGTCAGGGTCTTGCTATATAGGCAAGCCTGACCCTCGACTCTTGATCCTCTGCCTCCACCTCCTGAGTGCTGGGATCTACCATGCATGGCCCTACCGCATTGTTTAAAGCAGTTTCCTCAGGAAGCTCTGACTCACATTTGAGACCGAGGCACACCATGCGGGTCACAGAAGCAGCTGAGTGGGAGAAAAACCCACATTCCCCCGGCCCCAGGCTGCCAGCTTGGTCCCCCTGAGCTGACCTGGACTCAGAAGCACCCTAGGGGCACTCCAGGGATCCTGGACACCCTGTGACTCTGGGTCTGGTTTCTGGCCCCATAACAAAGGCCTGCTCAAGAAGCCTCTGAGTCCACCAGGAACGCTCAGTCTCTGACATTGGTGAAATGGAGTGGCTGTCACACACCAGAAGCTCTGGATTTGCCAGCTCTCAGACAGCAGCCAAAGGCCCTGGTCATCCTTCCCGAGGGACAGGGTGTGCCTCTGAGGCTGGCACCAGAGCTGTGACTCTCCCCGGGATGCTGCCTTAGCTGCACCTCTGCTCCAGCTGAGAAAAGCCCATCTCAGAGCTGCTCCTTTGACCTAGAGCTCGTTTGTGCGTCACGGACATCTGAATCTGAGAATTCTGTCTCCACTTTGCTTGCTGTGGTGGGAGTGGGCAGTTGAGGCTGTCAGGGACAGGCCTCCTGTGGGGGAAGTGCCTTCTGTCTCACTGGTCCTTCCTTTTGTTCCCTTTGTTCCTGTTGCTCCCTTTGACTCCATTAGCTTCAGGAACAAGGTGAGCAAATCCTCCATGGTTAGGAACTGAGCCTTTGCCCCTGGGGCTGCTTTGCTGTTGGCCTGTTCAGGCTGCGTTGCTAGCATGGGCAAATCTGTGCCTGCTATCTTGGTACATGCTTCCCTTCATCATCATCAAGGGTCTGCCTTTGCTCCTTTTTAAGATTTTTAATTCTTCCCCCCAACTCTTCATGTCTGGCACCTTCCTTGCTTAGCTACACAAATGGAAACTGTGGGTCAATGATTGAATATTTGTTTGGAAAGGGAAGTGGAATTTCCCATGTCTCCTCCCTGCACCGTGAGGAAGCAAGTGTCCAACTCTGTCCAGGCCCGGCAGAGATGACATAGTGAGGCCTGGACTTGCACGGCAGCTGTGAGGTGGAGAGAGGCCGGAGCAGAGGTGTTGTGGAGCACAGCAGGGTTGGGAGCCCATGCCAAGGGAGGACCTTGTTCTGAGGAGGATCGTCCTCCTCAGGATCCTGGCGGATGGTGCCAGGTCTCAAAGCCATCCCAGGAAGCCAGCCCTGAGGCTGGGAGAGTTAGGGATGGTGACTCACATAGGATCTGAATGCCTGAAGGAGGGGCACCACAGGTGAGCAAACACCTGGGGAGGAGACTGGCAGAAGACACGGCACACGCAAAGGAACTGAGTGGGCACGGCAGGCAGTCTGCTGCCTTGGAGCTGGCAGGGAGCGGAGTCTGGATTACACTCGCACACACACACACACACACACACACACACACACACACACATGGTAGAAACCCTGGAAGGTGGAGGGCGTGGTCAGACTGATGCTCTGGACACTATGTGGTACTCTGGCCAAGACACATCCACCATCTTGATGAAGTACCAAGACCAGAATAGGACCCAGGCTGGGCTTTGAGAAGCCCAAAGAAAGGAGCTGGGAATTCTGATGGTTTTGTGTGAGCCACAAAGCAAAGGGGGCAGTGGGAGAAACCTTCCCCAGCAGAGAGCAGCGCCTCAATGTTGGTTGATGAACAATAGTGGTTTATCTGAACTTGGAAGTGCCGCAAAGAAAGGATTTCAGGTGTGTGTGTGCCCCTTGCTTCCCTCTTCTGCCACTTCAGGCTCTTTTTTTTCATTCTTAGCCTTTCCAGGATACATTTGTTCCTAGTATCCAGACAAACCCAGGAGGAAGTGCAGGAGGAGGTGCAGGGTTATTTGGGGGCAACACAGGGAATATCCTGGCAAGAGAGAGACAGACGTGTTTAGGGGGTGGTCCGTGGCCAGCTGTACATCTATTCAGGGTGCGGCAGCTCAGAGCCTGGCCCTGTGGGCTCAGTCCTCCCGAGAGTCCCAGAGCCTGGGGTCTCCTCACACCAAGTCTTGCTGGCCATGGGGCAGAGCAGAGCTGAATCATTCCCTGGATGGTTTGCTGAGCAAACACAAGGCTGTCAACCTTGGCCTGGGCCTGGTCCGTGGGCTGCTCGCATGCTCTTCAGTGCCCCCCTCCTGCCTGCCATGTCTACTGCCCAGATCACTGTGGCTGTAACACCCACCTGAGGACATACTTGTGCCACCTGTGCTCACCTGTGATCACCTGCACTTACCTGCTCACCCATGCTTACCTATGCTCACCTGTACCCACCTGTGCTCACCTGTGCTCACCTGTGCCCACCTGTACCCTGTTCCTGTATTTGTCCCTGGAAATAGCCCTTCAGGTGAGTTTGCACAGGGGCTGCTCGCTCAGGATACACTGAAAAAGGGCAGTCAGTGGCCAATCTGGCGCCACAATCCTGCCCTACACCACCCCATCTCAACTGTCACCTACGTAGTGGGTCCTCCCAAGCACTCCCTCCCAAACTCCTAGAACCCCTCCAAAGGCCACAGTTCCACATCTGGACCAGGGGTCCACTGGGGTGCACACCTGAGCTGTATCCTCCCATCACTGGGCTCCTCCAAGGCCCATGAGTCCCTCACCCGCTCATGGCTCCTCACCTGCTTCCCTATCCAGAGGGCTATGAGTGAGAGGTCCCAGGACTGCCACTTCACCAGTCCTGGCTCTATCCCCACCCTCACTGCTGACCCTGCTGTCAGCTTTCCCACCCTGGACAGCACCATCCCCATGGTGCTCTACTGTCTAAATAGTCACCCCACCCTCCATATGTCCCCCACCCTCACTCCTCCTTCCTAGATGTGTCCCCTGGCAGACACTGTGACTGAAACTCACCTCCTCACCCCAGAGGAGCTGGGGATTAGCTCCCACGCAGTCCAGGGCTGCCTGTCCGACTGACGGCTGCAGGTTCACCTGAGAGGAAAGGAAATGTACCAGGGCCAGGTGTACGGTGGCCACAGCTTCCCTTGCTCAGCCTTGTCTGGCCAAAGGGGCAGGAGGGCGCCCTCCTGGGGTGGGCAATAGGTCCAGCCCTCAGATAGGGGGGCAGCACATTGTGGACTTGATCCCCAACAGGTGCCTTATCATTGGCCCTGTGGCCGGGGCAGCTCCTGCATGAGGTGAGGCCTCCTTTGGATACCCTAGGCTATCCCCAGTTCCCTGAGACAGCTTTGGGGCAAAGGGTGGGGGAGTTCAACCAATTCCTGACAAAGAGGAAAGATACACACACACCCAGGACAGGGCACCAGCCCAGAGCAGGTAACCAACCATGTCTCTACCCCTAGAATTCCTCCCAAGAGCTTGGTACCTTGGTCTTCGAGGTGGGGACCCCCATGTGCTCCCTCTCCAGGAAGCAGGGCCTCACTGTGCCTGCAGGGAAACCCCAGGGGCCCAGGCTCTCCTGGCTCTGCCGTCTCCACCAAGATGGGCATCGGGGGCTTGGTATTCTCATGGAGGAAGGAGTTCAGCTTCATCACATGTGCTGGGGAAGGAGGGTATCAGTAGCGGTTCAACCTGGCCATGAGGACAGGGCATTTGGGCCTTACTCACTCTGTATGGCTGACTCGCAGGCTTGGCTCACCAGCTGGAAGATGGTGGTGAGGGACTGTGGCTCACCCTGGAAGAGGAATATGGCTTTGGGACCTGTGGCTCATGCTACCCAAGGAGGCCCCAACCATCAGAGATGAGCTAATAACCCCAGACTTTCAGCATTACCCACCTTCTCTCCTCGTTCCCCTTTGGGTCCCGGCAGCCCCTACAGCAGAAGGCAAAGAGAAAAGCTGATCAGTAAAGAAACCAGTAACAGGTGCTGTGGCTGACACGACACAGCCCCACTCTAGGAAGCCTGGAGCCCTGCACACAGGCAGGGTGGTGAAGCCAGAGCCCCAACCTGAATTCCCAAGTCCTAAGAGCACTGTCCCTCACTCCACCAGAGTGGACAAGTGAGGCTTGACATCCCACAGTAGGGACAGTCCCCAAGTGGGGCTGGAACTTGTGCCACAAAGGATCTGCTCCTGGTTATGGATTTTGTGCTGGGGGATGGGGGGTCCCTAATAGTTAGGATGCTCCCTGGAAGAAACTAGACCTTCTCCTGGCCCAGAGCTAGGCCTGATCCAGGTGTTCTGCCCACCACTCCCTGACCTCCAGCTCCAGCCCCCTGACCCTGGAGCCTACTTATGGGGTCCGTCCCCTGAGCTGCTGAAGTCCCCACCTTGCCTGCAGGTCAAGGCAGTCTCCCAGGGTGCTGGATTTCCAGGAGACAGCTGCTGCCCCTCTCCCAGCCCTACCCTCACTCCCATGGAGGCCAGCAGGAGCAGGGAACAGGCTGGTCCTTAAAAAAGAAGCCCCTGAGCTTGGCACCTGTACTTGCATCACCACTGCCCCCTTGGATGAGTGGAGAGGGACTTACCGTAGGCCCCACGGCCCCTGGGCGACCTCGCTCCCCATTGGTGCCCCTGGCCCCTGCTAAGCCCTGGAACCCCTGCAGAGATGCAGAAGTTGGAGTTTGGCTTGAACTTCCCCCACTGAGTCTGCTCCCCCTCAGTCCCAGTTCCTGAACATGCAGTGCCCCACTGTCTGAGAAAGTCCAAGGCCCTCAGCAAGACCCTGTCTGCCCTCAGGTCTCAGCCTCCTCCCCAACATGGTCCAGGCCCTGTCCCCCAACCCAATACCCAGGGCAGACCCCCACCCCTCACCAGCATGCAGGACAGACTCCTACCCCTCACCAGCACCCAGGGAAGAACCCCACCCCTTATTAGTGTGCAGGGCAGACTCCCACCCCTTGCCCAGCTGCACTGAAATGCTGGGATGCACTTGACTGCCTTGGTGTAACCATGGCATTTCCATTCCTTATGCAGAAGCCCTTGAGGGGCTGGGACCCCTGAGCAGACCCCACTCAGGGGTCTCCCAGGCACTGAGCCCACAGCAAAGACCCCTAGGAGGCTCTGGCTGAATAGGAAGGGTTCTTTTAAGATGAGAGAGCCTTAGTCCTTCCAGGCCGAAGGCTGCCTTTGCTGTTCAGGGGATGTCCAAGAGAAAGGCCAGCAGGACTGGGTCCTTGCCTCATGGCCAACCTGGCCTGTCTGGCCCTCCCAGGTCCAGCCAGGAACCCTGCCCTGTACAGTTGGGGTGCAGGCATGATTGGGGCTACGTAAGAGCTTATTTCCATAGGAGTCTGCCCTGGGGGTGAGAAGGGCCCCAGATGGGTGGTCATTGGCTACTGCAGGGCTCCTGGACATGGGCGCTCCTGTACTCCTTTGCCCAGCAGAGCCTTGCAGAAGGCTCTAGCAAAAGCCAGGCCCTCCTCAGGCCACTTCTTGTTTTTTTATTACTGGGGCTTGAACTCAGGGCCTTCACCTGAGTCACTCCACCAGCCTTTTTTGTAATAGGATTTTTTTTTAAGATAGGGTCTTGTGGAACTATTTGCCCAGTCCGGCTTCAAACTGCGATCCTCCTGATCTCTGCCTCCTGAGTAGCTAGGATTACAGGCGTGAGCCACCAGCACCTGGCAGCTCAAGCCATTTCTGGGGGTGATCGGGACAGTGGACAGTGTTCAGTCCCTTCTTCCCAGAGTGTCCAACCAGGTCCAAGAAGCCTCAGGGATCCTAGTGAGGGCAAGAGGGTTCTGGGCCGCGGTGCCTACCCTGGGGCCAGGTGGTCCAGGCAGGCCAGCAGGCCCCTCCAGTCCTCTCATTCCCTGAGGGCAAAGGAAGGACAAGCTGGGGCCGGGGCTCCCACCCATCCACAGTCCACCTGCCAGGTGACCACCCTGAGAAGGTGGGGGCAGATGCACACTGGCTCTGAGCAGAGGAGCCTGTGAGCTGCTGCCCCTAACCCCTGGTGTGCACCGGGTTTCCCTTCCTCCTAGACAGCCCACAGGATATGGGCCTCCCCCGTCTCCACCCCCACAGCCTGTCCCGAGACCCTCACAGGCCACCCATGTGACACCTTAGGGCCCAGAGCCAGTACCTTTGGTCCCTGGAGGCCAACTCTCCCAGGGGTGCCTTGCTGGCCAGGGTGGCCCTAGAGGGAACAGAGATGCCCAGGCAAGGGCCAAGGTCATACCCAGAGGAGGGGACTGCCCACAGCCCTGCCCTGCCACAGCCTTGCCATGCTACCTGCAAGCCTGGGAGTCCATGGTCCCCTTTCTCTCCTTTGATCCCTGGTGGACCCTGAGGAGAAAATGGACCGGGCAGCAGAGAGGAGGGAGAGAAGGAAGAGGGAAGGAGTAATATAACACCTACCATGGGCCCCTGGACTGTGCGGCCCTGGGCCCCTGGTGACCCCTGCTGACCTCCAGGGCCTTCAGGTCCTGTCTGTCCAGGTGGTCCTGGCTCTCCCTGGAAATACAGAGTGGGCACTGAGACATGTCCCCTGTGTCCCCAGCCCTCTGGCCACCACTCCATGGTTCTCAGACTGCCATAGACACCTTTGCTAGAAGCCAGAGGCAGCCCTACATACCCTCACACCCACCCTGGGAGGGTCTTGATGTGGCCATTTGCAGGGCACACCTGGCCCCAGGTCAGTTCTCCAGGGCCACCAGTGAGTGAGCACAGAGCCAGCAGGTGCAACAGTTCTCCCAGGCCTCCCCCAACTCTGGTCCCAAAGGGGGCCGGGTGGGGGTCTGCAGGAAACCCTGGGGAGAGGGAGAGCACACACGCAGGGGACAAGCTTCCTTAAGCTCTAAACCCAAACACCACTCAGAGCTCACTGAAGGGACAGGCGACACCAGGGCTGTTTAGTGCTCAAGATAAGGGAGAATACACTTCCAAGAGATTTTTTTTTTAATTACGCCAATCAGTGTTCCAAACTCCACATAATAAACAGCTCAGGCTCATTACCAGTGCCAAGGCAACTGTAAGTGAAATGCCAGCAAACAGCCCTGCAGCGTGTTAAGTGGTAACAAGGACTAGGTGGCCAGGCTGGCTGCTTAACAAATGTGAGAACGGTTAGTGCCTGAGGACACGTCAAAATTAACAGCGAACGGCTCCGAGAAGAAAACTGTTTGATCACGCCTGTAGCCACTGAAGAGGTGCTAAATCTTACCTAACATTCATTCTTGATTTTTACAAAGTCCCACAATAAATCAAGAGTAAGTGGATTTTGCTATCACATGACAGAACATCTGCCTTCACTTCCGAGGCTGCTCTCAGGGCACTTCTGTTAACCCAAGAGATGAGAAAATCTGTATCACTGCTGGCCTTTGAGAGAACTCTGCAGCCCTCACCCAACACCACCAGGCAGGAAAAGGAAATTAAAGATATAAAACCTGGACAGGGAAATAAATGATATGCGTTGTAAACCTGGAAACTCTCTAGAAAAGCCAAAGACAAGTAAGCTGATACAAAAACAACATTCGGCGAGAACAGCCCGTCTATAAATAATGAGAGACAATGAGTGACAAGAGATGTGACGTGTAGGGATGAACAAGAGCCCAGAGGGTCCCGTAAGATGCAACGTCCCAAAAGTTTTACTAAAGGTCACAAAAGACACCTTGAACAAACAGAAGGACAAGACGATTCAAATCCTAAAAATACCACTTGTCTCTAAGTTCAGCTATAGATGGAATATGGTGCCAATAAAGTATCAACTGAATTTTTAAGGTCAACGGAAAGCTATCGTACGTTAACTGAACAATGAAATAAGCAAGGGGAGCCAATGAAACAACCAGAAGGAAAAGATGACAGAGGACCAGCCCTTGCAGATACCAACATCGTGAGCAAATCTGGAGTTGAGTCGTCCCTCGGTGGCCTCAGATACCCAGATCCATGGATGCTCAGGTCCCTTAGGGAAAGGGGTGTATACTTACAGGTACTTTAAATCACCTCTAGTGACTTACAATACTTAATTCAATGTAAAAGCTATACAGTAGTGATAGTGTACAGTTTAGGAAAGGATGAAGGGAAAAAATCCGTTCATGTTCAGGACGGACATAATTTTCCCCCAAACACTTTCTATCTGTGCTTGGTTGAATCTGTGTGTTTGGAAGCTTGCAGACACCAAGGGCCAGCTGTCATTTAAGATGCATGGACTTGGTACATGAAGACAGACAATCAGTGGAAAGAACAAAGTACACAGGGAAGGAGGACAGGGTGAAGATGGTGCTGACTCGCACTCTGAGGGGCTGACTGCGCAGAGACCCAGCAGTCATGGGGCAGGGTCTGCGAAGGGTTGCAATTGGCTCCTGTCCACCTCAAACCAAGCAAGCCAGGAGGAATCCCTAAACCTCTGAAAGACCCTGGGAGAGGAAACACACACTTTCTACTCTCAGACTAAGGAAGACCTTTTGAAGTAGGTCACAAAATTAAAAAACTGAAGATCAACTGGGCACCACTGATGCACGCCTATAATCGCAGCTACTTGGGAGGCAGAGATCAGGAGGATTGCAGTTCAAAGCCAGCCCGGGAAAGTAGTTTGTGAGACCCTATCTCAAAAAAGAAACATCACAACAAAGGGCTGGTGGGATGGCTCAACTGGTAGAGCACCCGCTTAGCGAGCGTGAGGCCCTTAGTCCAAACTCCAGTACCACCAAAAACAACAACAAACAAACAAAAAAACCCAATGATGTGGACTAGGTAAAAGTTACTTTAAAAATCTGTATGGAAGTGCATCGAAAGGTCAAAAGACACGTGGCAAAACGGCAAAGAAGTCACAAGTCAGCAAAGCTGACGCCACACGGTGTAAAGCCCCACAAAGACTCAAGCAACATGGGTCAAGGGTGCAGAGTGGCACAGCGGAGGTGTCAGAAGACACATTTCCAACAAGAGCATCCTGGCAACTTCCAGCAGGCATGCAAGACTTTAAAAACCCCACGGGGATGCGCGCCTCACCCAGCAGGCAGCTCCCTGTCGGACAGTTATATGTGGAGGGGGGTGGCAAGTCACTGTTCACCCGTGACTGAGTGAGGGGCACCTCGCTCAGCCTGCGAGGGGGAAGTGGTTTTTGGCCAGAACTCATTCCAGGAACTTATCCCTGAGATATTCTCTTAAACTCCAGGAAATGCACACATGCAGGGAGGAGCACTGTGGCAGCCTTTGCAGTAAGAGGCTCCACACCGTGCTTCAGTGCACAGCGTGAGGACTGCGGCCAGCTCTCCCTGGACATGTGCCTCCCAGCAAGGCTTCATGTCCAGTACAGGCCAGGGTGGTGCCCTCAGGTGCACACAGGATCCCCCCCGGAGGGCTATGGGCAGGCATGGGTGTGGGACAGAGGAGAGGGTGTCACAGCAGCTGGCACTTCTTATGCATCTTGTTGCCTGTGCACGAGGCATGGTGGCTTAGTACATTTCTAGAATCAATGAGGAGGGCTTCCTCCGGGCCAGTGTGGGGTGGTCTGCCATCACAGGACACCGCTTCTGCTTCCCTCTCCACAGAACCAGTATCCACCCCACCCGTGGTGCACCGCTAGACCCTGCCCTAGTGCTCCGAGGCTAAGTGTGTTTGAAACTATTTTGGAACTTAATCTCAGTGCTGGCAGACAGAGGCCTCAGCAAGAAATAGAGGGGAGACAGAAGGTGGCCTTTAGAGCCAGACGGCCTGGGTTCACCCTCTGGGCAGGCGCCTCACCTTCCCAAGACTCAGTTTCCCCACCTGTGCCATAAGATGCCTCTGCCTATGAGGGTGGGGGATGAAGAAGGAATGTCCACTAAGTATCCAGGGCCAGGTGCCCAGTAGGTGATGGGGAAACCCAAGAATGCCCTGGTCTCCCTGGGCATCAGGTCCCTGCCTGTCCACAGCGTGGGGAGCCTTCTCTTCCCTGAAGGGGCAGGAAACATACAGCTGGCTTCATGCATTCTGAATGTGCTGGAGGGACCTCCCTGGCACGTCAGACCCAGGCACCCCCACACCCTACAAGACTTACCCTGGGCCCTGGGAGGCCCCGTTCTCCTGGGGTGCCATTCTTCCCAGGGAGACCCTGTAAAAGCACACACAGGGCTGAGTCTCAGTCTCACCCAGCCCTGGATCCTTGTCTATGTTGTTGAGGGAAGGATAAGGGGCTTCCAAGGGCAAGGATGTCCTGACCATCCTTTCCTCTCTTTGTTGGGCACAAACAGATCTGAGCTCAGACCCTGGCTCCTGTATGGTGATGTCAGTGGACCACTGAGCTCAGCAGAAGTGCTGGTGACAGGCATCTTGTCATAGTTGGCTCTGAAAGCCCCCACTGAGCCTGTAGGATAGGTTCTAGGGACCCTGGGGCCTCAGGGCTGGCAGAGATAGCTCCAACAGAGGTCTGAGAATACCCTGTAGACACTCAAGCCAGCCCAGAGCAAGAAGAGCTGCCTCCTCTGGGCCAAGGCAGAAGGGCTTCTGATGCAAATGAACTGAACCTACCCACCCCCAGCATCCAGGACAGAGCCATCTGTATTTTGTGCCTCATAGCTCACCACATCATAGCCAGCAATGTCACAGCCCACTGGCTACCACCACATAGTCCTGGAGGCCAGCTGGGCCTGGGCCTCAATTCAACAAGAATACTCAAGACATGCTGGATTCCATGCCAGGGAGGGGTCATGCCTGCCCACAGAGGGAAAGTCATGGACCAGAGAGGGTCATGGCTACAGGGCAGGAGGAGCTTGGCCAGGTTGGGCTCATGGGCCAGGTAGACACAGCAGAAGGAGGCTCATAAAGTGTGTCCCTTCTGTGTGGCAGGCTAGGGAGGACCGCTCAGAAGTCTGGGCTCCTACCAGTTAAGAGGGAATATGGAATATGTGGGGCCACCCCACCTCCACCAATGACAGAGATGTGTGGGCCAGAAGTCCCTGGTCACCCACAGGGGAGAGGCTGCTGGACTCACAGGGGGACCTTGGGGTCCTGGGGGCCCGTGGGTCTTGGAAGAGCAGGCGGAGATAGAAGGGAAGGCCGGGCACATTTCTTTGTCCCTCTGGAAGAAAGGAGGCAGCTTGTCCTTCTGGAAGAAAGGAGGAGCCTTCTCCCTGGCTCTGACTGACTTCAGGGCTCAGTGTGGCTAAGGACACCTGGCTCCAAGAAAATCTCCAGGCTTATCCCAAGGTGGGTCAGGGTGGGGACAGAACTGCACAGTGGACAGGCTAAGGTAAAAACCTGTAAGCCCCACATATGCAGCAAGTCCTGGGTGTCTCCTCCTGGCTGCCCACATGAGCCCTAGGCAAGGTGGCCCCTTCTTCTCTTTTCTCTCTCAGGCCCCCAGCATGGCCAAGTCCAAATGAGCGCTCAGGACCAGCTGGCTGTCCCAGCGGTCCAGGGACAACCCCATAGCCTTGCTGAAAGAACCTGTTCCTGGCCCATCCATACCTGGCTGGGCCCACAGAAAAGAAGAGCAACCCTCACAGTACATGGCAACTGCCACAGCTGCAACTGGGGGCTTCCTGGCTTGCCGTCACAGCCTCTGGGCCTCTCCTATTCAGCCACCCTGGCCCCCAAGCCCACCTCCTCCAGAAAGCCTGCCCTGATCTCTCAACAGACAGTGATGGTCCAGACAGGCCCATCTACTCCAGACTGTGTGACCTTTGGTGGACACTTGCACAGGACCCAGGGATGGTGGCCATGGCATTGCTGCCACCTACTGATGCAGGAAGCTCACAACACTTGTCCTCATCAGCCCAGGTGTCACTGCACACGATTTGCAGCATCTGAAGCTGGAACTAGGCAGGTAAGGAAGAAGGTCAGCCAGACACAGGCCCCTAGACAGCCCCACCCAGCCTGGCAGGACAAGGCCGACTCACTGTGGCTGAGCTGCTCCGGGGCCCCCTGGCCTTGGCCAGCTTCCCCAGCATGACGAAGCCGGCAGCAGGTGGGCTGCCGGACTCCCCGATGGGCCTCTCCGCCACCTTCCGGCAGTCCACATAGAGCTTGACCTTGGAGTGGCCCACAGCCACATGCACCTGCAGAGACATGACAGAAAGTCCCTCACCACCAGGCCAGGGTTGATGCCCATCTGAGCTGTCCAGCCAGGGCCAAAATAGATGGAGGAAGAGCCCACACCTTAGGTCCTAAGGGTTGTGATCCTGACTCCTCCCGTGTCCTGTGGCACCCTGGGAAGTCACCTCCTTGGGCCTCAGCTTCCCCAGGGATACCTGCTACAGGTGCTCCTAAAGACAAGGGCTGTGGTGTTCTTTGACCCAAATTAAGATGGACAGTAAGGACTAAGGGCATCAGGGGCAGAGGCCCTGGATGCATCAACACTTGACTCTCAGGGAACGTTCTGGTGCTCTGGGGGAAGCAGTCACATGCTGGGGAGGCCAGCGGTAGAGCAGGGCCTATGGGGCTCAGGCAGCAGTCCCCAGGACCTTGTGGAAGCTCCCAAAGAAAATCTTCTTGGCCTCCTGCAGGTCAAAGGTGGCCTCCTGCAGGGCAGCCCTGGGATCGTGGTTGAAGTAGGTCAGAGACTTTCTGCCAGCTGCCAGGGAGGGGCAAGGAACAGGTGAGAATGGCCCAAGCCCAAGAGACGGCAAGCACTGAGGGCAGGAGTGGCAGGGGCAGCCCTTGGTGTGGACAGCAGCCCCCTGCTGGACACCTGCCTCTCCCTGGGGGGTGCCCACTGACAGCCACTGCCTGGGAAGCCCTGCAGCCCACAGCCTGGAGGCTGACATCCTCAGCCCACATGTCCTAGGGTTAAGAGAAGACCACTTGGAACCCCTGCCCTCCCCCAACAACTGTCAAGGGTAACATGGGCCCACAGTCACCATCCAGCAGAACCCCAAGGATGGGCTGGAAGTCCTCAGATGTCATTTGCCACAGGGCAAAGGCTTCTCGGGGCGTTTCAGGGAGCAGGCGCACCAGGAAGACAATGGTGTGTTGTGGTGGGAGGGCAGCCGGGTGGATGTCACTGGAGGCAAAGGCAGGGGTCATGAGCAGAATGGAGGGTGGCTGGGCCTGTGGGACAAGCCCTGCACCTAGGTCCCAACCTTGCCTTCAGCTGCTTCAAAAGCCAGCCATCGTGGACCCTGCCATGCTTAGCCTTCCCAGCTAATGTTGGAGTGTGACAGCTGTCAGCCCCAGGGCCCTAGTCTCCTACCTTGGCTCCCCAGAAATAACAGAGGTGCATAAAGGACAGAGCCTGACATGGGGATCAGACTGGCTCAATGGCGAGGCCAAGCATGAGGTCCAGTGGCACCAGCCATACCTGCCTAAAGGGACACTTCTTAAAAGAAGACAAAGGGCAGCAACCTCAGCATCAACAGTCATCAGGGAAATGCAGATTAGAACCACCATGAGACACCATCACCCCAGTTAGAACGGCTGTTGTCATAAACATCAAGTGCTGGTGGACAAAAGGGTGCCTTCTGCACACCACTGGGGGAGTGGGAGAGAGTCCTCGAAAACTTAACTATGTGATCCAGCTCTACTGCTCCTGGGATGTAACCAAAGGAGACGAAGGGGACAGCATGGAAGGACACGCTGTGAAGTGAAATGCAGGGGACAAAGGGACAAGAACCACGTGATCTAAAAGAGGTCATGTCTAGAAGCACAGAGTGGAATGGTGCTTACCAGGGGCTGGAGACAGCAGTGGGGAGAGGGTGGTAAGGGTGTGGATGAGTACTAAGGCATGCTTAGGCAGGAGCCGGTAGGGCTGGTGGGCACAGGACAATTGCAGATGACAAAACATGCCATACTTGCATTCAGAAAGCAAGAATAAAGGAAGCCATTTTTATTGCACCATGATGGCTGTTTGAGGAGACAGATTCGCTTACCCTGATTTAAACCTCACACAATGAAGGGAGCTATTGAACTATCACACAGTAGCCCATTAGGATGTCCAGTTTTCATGTGTTTCTATATCTATGGAGGTAAATTTAAATTATATGCTATCTTAAAAAAGAATAGATCATGCTGAAAGGGCCTTCCAAACTCAGCAACAGTAGAGCTCCTTGCTGCCTTTAAAGATGGCTGAACTGAAGTGAGTCCCTCCTGCCAGTGGACCTCCTTGGGCTTGGGCATCTCCCAAAGCCACTCTCCTCTGGCTGATGAGGACAGCCTCTCTGCAAAGCTGCCCCTGGTTTCCAACTGCTCTCACTTTGGAGGGGCAACTACGAGGACAGAACCCCAGGCTTGCGCCTGCACCTGTGGCTGGTGCCCTCACTCTCAAGCATACGTGTGCAGCATGAAGGGCAATCTTCCCCTTCAGTGCTCATTCTCTCAGTACTTAGTTTTGTTACACGTCTGTGTCTCTGTCCTTTCCAGATGTGGGAAATGAGCTGCTCTTGATGCTATGTGAAAAGATCATAACTCAAGGTCTGGGGTAAGCAGGGAAAAGTGACCACCAGACACCAGGGGCCAAACAAGCCTCTTCACGACTGCTTGTGAAGAGGTCCTCATAACCCCTGGACCCTGGTGGTTTTGCCCTGTCAGGATCCAAAGCAAAACACCATCATGGCTTGTGTACACAATGCCGAGAGTGTGACAGACTTCTCGGCCCATGTGTGGTTGTGAAACATGCCGGGGGATGTCTGCACTCCATACACCAGGGATTTTATTAATTTATGAATTGAGGATTCCTGGGTGTATGGGCTGAGGCCTGTCTGCAGTTTGCTGGTGTGGTGTCAGGGGCTGATCGGCCCTGGGACCGGGTTGTGACAGGGCCATGGGGCATGTGGTCAGTTTCCTTCCCATGCTCTGAACACCTCATTTCTCACAACCCCTACTTGCAGTCCCAGCTCTATCGATCCCTCACACCTGGCTCGACGCATCAGCTGAGCATCCTTGAAGAGTGTGAAGGTCGGGGTTGCACCCAAGGCTGAGGCCTCCATGGCCACGCCTCGGATGGAGGCGTATTCCTTTGCCACCAGGCCAAAGGCCACCATCAGGTCAAACCCTGGTGGAACAAGGAATGATGACCACGGACAATCCGGGAGGAGGGAGGGGAGGGACAGAAAGATTCAGAACCTGAAGAGGAAAACAGCAGATGGGAGGGACGGGAGATGAGAAAGGCAGCCTGCTTTGGGGCCTCCAGGGCAGTGGGAGGCTGGCACTCAGGGTCAGGCCCTGGGCCCAGCTCCTTGCTGGCCATGACCACCCCTACTCTGGACTATGCTGTCACCTTCCCTCTGTCCACTGGGGAATTTGTTCAGTCAAATGTCCCAGCTTGGGAGGCCCAGAGATGGCACAGGATGGGATGCATGGCACTCAGACCCAACCATGAACCCCAACTCCTGCCTCGCAATCCTTACCAAGCAGAGCCCCTGGCACCCATGCTGTGCCCTCACCCAGCCTCCAAATGCGTTCTCTTTAAGGAAGACCTTGCTGAGTTCTCCTTAGCTGGCACTGCACCCTCACGTGACCCCATCGGTTCTACACAGCCTCAACCCTCCATGGCTCTGATTCTGATTCCCACCATGGCCTGAACCGGCCGAGCTGAAAGTGCCAGAGTGGACCTCAAAGTGCCAGCTCCCTCCAGCATTGATTGGAAGAGTGGAAGTGGAATCTCATTTACGCAGGACGCTTATCAGCGCTGCCAGCAGACCTGGGGCAGGAGGAAGCAAATGCCCAGCATTTCAGGTCTTTTGTGTGTGTGGTACTGGGGATTAAACCCAGGGCCTCATGCATGCTAGGCAAGCATTCTACCTCTTGACCTGCACCCCCAGCCATTTTGCTTTTGAGACAAGGTTTCACTACCTTTGCCTGGGCTGACCTCAAACTTACAATCCTCCTGCCTCTCCTCCTGAGTAGCTGGAATTACAGACCAGGCCTGGCTCTTGAGTCCTGTTTTAAGAAATCAGCTGTGCCTGCTTGTATGTCCACTGGCCCTGCTGTCCAATGTCCCCTTTCTCCACTGGCCCTGCTGGCCCAGCAGCAGGTTCAGGGCACCTGTGGCTCCACAGAGCTCCTCACTGAAGAGCCTAGGTGAGATGTGCAGCCCTCACACTGAGCCATCAGCCCTCCTTACACCTTCAGGCACCATCACCTGCTGGGACAGGGTCCCCTGACAACATTCCACTCTCAGCCCTTTCTGTGGAGGGAGGTCCTGAACTCCTGAAAAGCATGAACAAGGATCTGCAGGCTTGGCACATTGCTCCCCCAGCTCCCAGGTTTCCGTGAGAAAGGACACTTGCTTCTGCCCCATGCCATCTATGGGCCAACCTGGCCCCCCTCAACTGGCCACCCTCCTGGGGCCACCTGAAAAAGCACTGGCCTCCCAGAATCCCCCAGTATTCTGTGGTGGGTTCCCAGTTGTCACTTCCTTGGCCTCCACAGTTCAGCAGGAGCCCAACAGAAGCAGGCAGACAAAGGACAGGCACAGCTGTCACAGATGCACAACGCCTACCTGGGAGGGTGCTGTCCGGGCGCAGGGCTGGGCAGGCTGCTGAGAGGACACAGTGGGTCTGGTGAGTCAACCACGAAGGAAGTAGGGGCAATGTTGTCTTCCCTGTGGGCCCAGGTGGCCCGTGCTGCATCTCCATCTGCCCACCCTTTCTCCACAGTCAAACCCTGTGGTCCCCACTGCTTGGTGAAGGGGACAGGGATGGTGCTGCTACCCTGGGTCTTACTGAGTGAGCAGGAGCCCCTGCCCACCTGAAAGAATTCAAAGCCAAAGCCCCAAGGGGATCTGGCCCCACATGCTCCCCAAATCCCAGACAACAGGGCCTGGGACAGGTGCAGGCCTGGGGGTTGGGGATATAGGCCACCTCCACCACCAGGTTCATGCAGGTGTGGATGAAAGCAGAAACTACTGCCCACCAGGTGAGAGGTGTGAGCAGGACTTTAGTCTCAGCAGCTGTCTACTGAGCAGTGAGGTCCTGGTCACCATAGGCATTGGTGACCATAACTGGAGAACCCCAAGGGCATACAGAAGGGACTGAGGATTATGGAATGGCCTCTGAGGGCCACCTGCCATGAGTGTTTGTGGTTGTCCAAGAAACCAGACAGTGACAAGTGACAAGTGACAGCTCTTCAGCAGGCCTGGCCTAGCAGGTGGAGGACTAAGACCGCTGGAGGGCCCATGTTGTCCCTGCAGCATCAAAGACTCCCCCAGACATCTTCCAACCACTGTGACTCCCACCTCCCCCATGTTTGCCATCTACATCTGGCTGGCTCAGCCCCTGCAGACTCCAGGCAGCTATGGAAGTGCCACGGGTTCCTACAAGTGAAAGTAAGAGCGGGAGCCCAGACCCGGGGCTGCAGGAGTGCTCTGTGTGGGCTGTGCAGTCCCAGCCAGCCTGCATTAGGGCTGTGTTCTGGATGGGGAGGCTCCAAGGAAGCCTCTACTTCCCTGTGTCACCCTCTGTAGTACTGGACATGGGCAGGGACAAGAATGACCACTCTACATGGGCAGGCCCTAAGCTCCCTGACTCACTTACTTCCCCCATGATCCTGCTGAGTGTCTTCACAGATCTGGCCTACTTGGGAGGTCTGACTTCATCTAGGAGCTGGTCTGGGACCTGGCCAGATCTGGAGTCTGGCCTGCTCTGGTGTCTAGTGGATCATGGCTTTGGCCAGGTCTATAGTTCAGCCTGCTCTGAGGTCTAGTTTAGTCTAAGGTCTGGCTGGGTCTGGGGTCTGGCATGAGGTCTTACTGGGTCTGGGGTCTGGCTGGGGCTGGGAGCTGAGTTGGTCTGGGGGTCAGAGGTCTGGCCAGGTCTAGGGTCTGTCTGGGTCTAGGGTCTGTCCTACTCAAGGGTCTGACTGGGACTGGGGTCTGGGTTGGCCTGGGATCTGGCCAGGTCTAGGGTCTGTCTGGCTGGGTCTAGGGTCTGGCTGTGTCTGGAGTCTGGCATGAGGTCTGGCTGGGTCTGGGGTCTGGCTGGGTCTGGGATCTGGCCAGGTCTAGGTTCTGGCTGGGTCTGGGGTCTAGCATGAGGTCTGACTGGGTCTGGGGTCTGGCTGGGTCTAAAGTCTGGCTAAGGCTGGGCTCTGGCCAGGACTAGGGTCTGGCTGGGTCTGGGGTCTGACCCAGCCTGGGTCTTGGTTCACTCACCTGTCCGGCCTGTGACAGATACTGCCATGCTCTCTCCTGCTCCGTAGACAGCTGAGACCAGGACCCTGTACTTGGTGGCAGCCAGCAGGTCAGGAAGTGTGGTGTGGTTCCTGGGGCCTGGCACTGAGATCTGGGGGCAGGAGGTCCCCTTAGCCATCGCTTTCCGGGGTGTCTGCTTTATTATTATGCTTCCTTTTGTCTGTCTGTTCCACCATAAAAGAGCTGCCACCTTCAACAGATTGGCTGGGCTATGTCCCCTACTGGCCCCTTGAACACCAGGCTGGCCATTTCTCTCACTGGTCCCACATTCCAGGTTGGGCAGTATCCCCTACTGGTCCCAGGCCCCAGTTTGGCTGTTTCTTACTGGACCCAGGGCCTAGCCTGGCTGTCTTCTACTGGCCTCAGGTCCCACTGGCTTAGAAGCTCTCTGTGGCACATGATAAAAGCGAGAGCACACAAGGGAGGGGTGAGGATAGGTAAGACACCTAAAAAACTAGCTAGCATTTGTTGCCTTTAATGCAGAGAAACTAAAGCAGATACCTTAAAGCAACTGAGGCCAATAGGAGAAGGGGACCAGGAACTAGAGAAAAGGTAAGATCAAAAAGAATTAACCTAGAAGGTAACACCCACGCACAGGAAATCAATGTGAGTCAATGCCCTGTGTAGCTATCCTTATCTCAACCAGCAAAAACCCTTGCTCCTTCCTATTATTGCTTATACTCTCTCTACAACAAGATTAGAAATAATGGGGGCGGGGGGAGAAATGACCCAAGCCTTGTATGCACATATGAATAATAAAAGAAGGAAAAAAAAAAAAAGAAGCTCTCTGTGGGGCAGCAGCTTCTAGCTCTTCACAGACTCACCCATTTCTCAGATCCTGAGCCTGAGGCTGGTGCATAGGTGAGCCGGTAATGGAGGACGTGACCACTTGGAGGTGTCCAGCTGACTCTCAGGCTATTGGGGGTCTCCGAGGACAGAGCCAGATTGGACGGGGGGCTCCGGCTTGCTGTAGCTGGTCGACAGCACAGACAGCATGCAACTCGGGGCCCTCCAGAAAGGGGGCACCCTCTGGCCAGAGGATTGGTCGACCAGTCCCTGCAGTATGCCTGACAAGTTCCACGACAGCTCCCACCACCCTGACTGCTTTTGCACAGAGGCATCTGTATCCTTGGCCACCCCAGGAACACCTGCACCTGTGGCACAATGGTCAGAGACTCAGGGAGTCTGCCTGCCAGTGGTTCTGAGAGTTTGGGGTCCTGAGCCTTGGAGTTTAGAGAGTCTGGGGTCTCCTCTGGGATGCTCCTGCCCCAGGCCCAGCTAAGTGGAGGAAGGGCCACCTACTGGGGGTGTAGCGGAGGGACACGGGGTCACTGCGGGCTCCGTCCCTGTAGTAGGCCAGGATGGTGAGCTCGTATTCTGTATCCCTTCCCAGGCCAGGCAGGACAGCTGTGCTGAGGGTCCCTGGGACAGAGATCTGGAAAGAGGAGGATCCAGGTGTCCACCTGTCTCATAGAAGGCCTCATGTTGGGGGGCCATGGGCAGTCCCCAAGATATAGGATGGAGGTGGGCACACACGGAGCCCAAACCCCAGCTCAGCCTCAGGATCTGGGGCGGGAGAATCTTCTCTGAAGGGCCAGCCATTCCCTGCCCCTGTCCCCTGCACCTCATGGGCCTTCCCCTCTTCCAAGGGCGTCCACTTGATCTGGTAGACAAGTACACCGGATGAGCCTGTGGCCACCCATGTCAGCCTGATCGCATCTCCTGGCAGCTCTGTCACGGAAAGCTGGCTTGGGCTGGGGGCTTTCCCTGAAGATGGAGATGGAGACAGAACTTGGAGTGCCAGCCCTGAACTGCAGCTGTTCGAACAAGAGTTGGTCCTTATCAAGGAGGTCCCTGGGCCCTGCATCTCGTGTAGCCTTCCTGTCATACCTGTCAGACTCTCGTCCCCACCTCGCTCAGTGGAGTCAGACCACACACCCATCACATTCTTATGGACTTGAACTATGCAGTTGGACAGAAGAGTGCAGCCCACCTCTGGACCCAGCCCCGACACCCCCACACTCACTTGTGGTCATATGGCCGGTCAGTGTGGAGGAGCCACCCCCAAGGTAGAGGCAGGTGACCCGGACAGTGTATGTGGTGGAGGAGGAGAGGGGACCCAGGACAACTGAGGTGGCGTTCCCAGGAACCTGCATCTGTAGGGGATACAGGCAGACCCAGAGGGTACCTGGAGCCTTTGCCAGGATGAAGAACCAGGCCCAGGCCCCCCAAAATGGAGAAAATGGGGTTGACCATGAAGCCCCAATATGGCCCATGAGGTGGGGCCTCCCCTCCCTGACCCCAAATAGCCCCATGTCAAGTGTGTCCCCAATATCACCTGCCATTACTTTGTACCTATGTGTTTGAGTCTTTGCTTCAAGTCTCCCCTCAACTTCCACCAGACCAGGCCCCCTAAGAGCTGGGATGCCGTCAACACTATGTCCCCTGCACCAGCTCAGAGCTGAATGTGCAGTAGCTGAACAAAGGTGGGCAGAGAAGGCAGGAGCAAGTGGGAAGAGGGGCACCTGGGAACTCTCCCATGGTCTGTGTGTGTATGCTGGGTCCTCCAGGGGCCCCTCAGGACATTTGGGCCCCAGGAAGGCTTGCTCTTACCTGCCCTGAGTGGCCACCATCACTGGAGACATAGCTGACCCTGACCAGGCGCACAGGCCTCTGGGTGCCCTCCCAGGACACGCGAGCTGAGTCATGGCTCACATCCAAGAAGTGCAGGTATTTTGGGGGTGCCAAGGCTGCTGCAAAGCATAGCAAGACTTCAGGGGCATCCCATTCCGCACCCCTGTGCCTGGGAAAAGAGTGGGTGGTACTGGGCTTATGGGACCTCCATAGGCATCCGGGACTCCCTCCGACCCACAACCCCCAGGCAAGGCTCAGGAACTAGAATGGGGCATCTACTATGTGGGCAGGTGGCCTGGGGCAAGGATACTCACAGGTCCTGGCTTGGACACTCTGGGCCTCGCTGGCCTCTGGCCCTCGGAGGCTCTGCACTGAAACCTCATAGTTCCTGCCTGGCTCCAGGCCATCCAGCAACACCTCAGGCCGCCCCACCCGCACCTGGGGAGATAAAGCATCAAGGGCTGGTTGCTCTGCTGCATGCCCCCCACTTGCGCCCCCCCCCCCGCCGCCTCCCCTCCTGGCTTCACACCTCTCTGCCCTGCTTCTCATCTGTTGGGGAGGCCGGTGAGCACCGCACCAGGTATTGAGTGGCCTCTGCAGAGGGCTGCCAGGTGAGGTGGAGGGTTCTGGGTGTCACTGAAGCCAGGGTCAGTGCCTGGGGTGGAGCCAGGGGTGCTAGGGAGGAGGTGACCATCAGGGTACACTTTGTGAACATGGTACATGAAGAAATCAGACCCACAAACAAGGGGGTACTCGTTCAAATGACAAGAGGCTTTGGGTAAGCAGTGCTGTGCACCTGCCTTGCTGGAAACAGAAAGGGCAGGGTCTAAGTGGGCAACTGCCTGTCAACAGCATCAACAGCACAGGATACAAAGCCCTGGTTTGGACCCAGGGCTGCCCACGGCACTGTACTGCTGGAGCCAGGTCTTGGTGGGGAGGGAACCACATGCACCCCACCTACCTGTAATTGCCAGGCCCTGTAGGCCCTCGCCAACCCCGCCTTCATAGACAGGAAGCACAGAGATCAAGTACTCTGTGCTGGAGGTCAGGTTTTGAAGCTCCATGGATGAGGCAGGCCCCTCCACTAGCACCTGGACAGAGGACCAAAGCAGGGCAGGATGGGGTGTTGGGGACCAGAGTACAGGACAGGAAAACTCCATTGACAGGGTGTGAGCTCAGGGACATGGTGCCTCCCTCCTGCAAAGCTGGGACCCAGCATGGAGCAGAGCAACCACAGGCACGTGTGCAGGTACAATTAATCTATCCATCAGTCAACAGGGAAGACTTGCATGTCAAAACCACACCCCAAGCCAGGCACAGTGGCTCACTCCTATAATCCTAGGTACTCAGGAGACAGAGATTGGGAAGATTATGGTTTGAGGCCAGTCCAGGGAAAAAGAAAGACCTGGTATCAACCAATTTAAAAAAAAAAAAAAAAGCTGGGAAGCATAAATAGAAGGATTTCAGTCCAGGCCAGCCAGACATAAACTCGAGACCCTATTCAAAAAATAACTAAAGCAAGAAAAGGGCGAGGGTCGTGCCTTAAGTGGTAGAGTGCCTGCCTAGCAAGTACAAGGCAATGAGTTCAAACCCCAGTACCAGCCCCAGTGTCCTTGGCCACCTCCCAATGCTCCCCACCTCTGACTTGTGGCATGTGCAGCTCCCCTGCCCTCCACTGCAATCCTCTCTCCATGTGGATTTGATGATCTGTGGGCTCAGTCATAGCTCATCAGACCCCACCTGCCTGTGCCTTGGGGAGTCCCTGTCAGCTGCCAGGCTCTGCAGGGGTGGTCTTAGCAGGGTCCATCCAGGACAGGGAAAGCAGAGGTCCTCTCACCTCCCTGGGAGCACCGCCTCTGGAAGACCGCCACACAATCAGATACTTGAGGGGTGGCTGTGGGGCTGGAGTCCAGGACAGGTGGACACTGGAGGAGGTGACCTGCGTCAACACCAGGTTGAGAGGCGTGGAGTGGGGGTGGACGGCAGAAGCAGCTGCTGCTGATACAGCTGTGGAACAGCAGGGCAGTGGTCAGAGCCCAAGAGGGCGGTTCTGAATGCTCCTCCTGGTGGCCACTTATAGAAATGCTCCTCCTGGTGGCCACAGGAAAATTGCTTTTCAGCACCTCCACAGACAGATGTCCCTGGTGGGGGCTGCAGACCCCTCAGGGCAGTTGACAATTGGCCTGGTAAACCATGCAGGAGCCACAGCCTCCCTGTCCCTCTGCCCCTGGATAGCTGCCCCTCACCTGGGCCCTTGCTCAGGTTCCTGCCCTGGACCTTCTGGCAGATGAGGCGGCTGAGTAAGCCAGCCAGCGTGGCCAGCTGGGGGAAGTCCAGCACGTTGTGGACAGTAATGTCCAGTGGCCGGGATGCGAGGAGTTTCAGTTCAGCCTCATCGGCATTCTTCACGCCTGCTCCGGGCGAGGAGGGGAGGGTGTGGTGACCAGCCTGTTCTGCAATTCTTGTCTTGCTTACAAACAGGATCATAGTGGGGGCACTGCTAGAGGCTCCCAGCATGTGGGAGGAGGCAGGTTAGAGCCACATATCCAAGACCCCACCTGGCCCCAGGAGAAATGGGAACTGGGGGCAGGGGAGGCCAGCATGCCCATGTGGAGTGGTCCCAGGAACTCTGAGCAGCAGGCCAGGTCATACAGGTGCAGAGCCAGAGAGCTCGTGAGTGAAGCGTATGGGGCTTCCAGGACAACTCCCCTACATCTGGAGTTTCCATCCCACAGGGCAGAGTGCAGTGAGTACAACCAAGGCCCAGAGGGCACCAAGCATGATCCTCACAAGGCAGCAGATGGGAGTGTTACCAGGCACAGAGACAGTGCCTGGGCAGGGAATGAGCTCGAAGGCTGCTCAGTGGACATCACACAAGAAAGGGAGGTCACAGCAAGGGAGGCCAGGCAGGAGATGCCACAGGTGACACTGGAAACTGTAAGGAGCAGCATCCTGGCAGTGCTCACATGAGCGCCAGGTGGATGCCTGGCTTCACTTGTAGCTCCCTGGAGCAGAGACTCACCTTGGTGCCCACAGACATGGAAGCTGAGCCTCAGAGATCAAGCATGAGCCCAGGTGAAGTCAGGGTACAAACTTCATCATGGACCTGGAACCCACCTGGGTCACGAGAACTCCCACCCGGAGCCCAGGGGCCGTGTAGGCTTACCCACAGTGAAGACATCAACACCTATGTCCTTAAGCATGCCAGCAGCCATGCGCACATCATCCTGGGACTTGCCATCCGTCACCAGGACCACCACTTTGGCTGCCTCTGGACGGAGACCCGCCACTGGCTTCAGGTTCTGTCCCAGCACATGGGTCAGGGCAAGGCCTTGGGGACAAAGTGACAGGCCGTCACCAGCACTTCCTCTGGGTATTTTCTCAGCCACAGGTACTCCTGGCGCTTGGGCCAGGGCTCCCTGTGCACCCACCAGGCTGAGTTCACCAGGAGCAGGGACAACTCCTCCTCCTTCAGAGGGCACCTGTGGCCCAGCAAAGCCACAGTCAAGCCTCTTGGGGGCCTGCAAGGCTGGGCAGGTGTAGGACCCAAGCAGGAACTGTGTGAGAACCACTTGCTTTCAGCAAGATGCCTGACAGGCCCAGGTTTTAGCCAAAGATAAAAGAGAATTTTGTCCTCTTGGTTCAACATCCACATATCACAGTGCTCGGGGGCTGGGAAGCGCATAAAGGTGAGGTGGACCAGCAGCTTGGAGCGAGGCTTCAGAATGGCCACACAGCCCTACCTGTGAACGTGTTCCCTCCCTTGTAGCGGAGGCTGTGCACAGCTGCCAGCACCTGCTCCCTGGTGTGGAAGGAATTCAGGTCCCACTCCGTCTGGGGGTCTCCACTGTACTGAGTCAGGCCTAAGAAGGTCAGGGTTGCTAGGTTGATGTTTGAGCGCTGTGCATCTCACAAGAGCACACAGGTCCAGGGCCATGGCCTAAGAGTTACCCACTCTGCACATAGCTGCTGGGGTCTTCCACGCAGAAAACAACCCCATCCCCAGGGAGAGACATTTCCAGGGCCCAGGGCTTCCACAGGAGGGTCACCAGAGCAGAAACACTGGGCGCCAGTTGTTCCTGTAGACCAGGAAGGCAGCCCTGGCTGGTGCTGCGTGAGCCAACTCAGACCACACTGACTTCAGTCAGCGGGATCTGTCCTTCTCTCCTGGCTGGCTGATGAACGGTGGGGATCACAGCATTCCTCTCCCTCCTCCCAGGGGGGCCACTGTCTCTCTGCAGGTGAGGAATTATAAGGACCAACCCCAAGGATGAGCCAGAGAGAGCAGTACTCACCTACTTGGACTTTATCTGGCCCAATTTCAAAGGGCTCAATGACACTGGCCAGGAAATCTTTGACCTGCTGGAAGTGGCTGTGACCAACACTCCAAGACCCATCCACCAGGAAGACCATGTCAGTAGGTGTGGGGGGTGTGCAGCGGAAGTGGGGGTCGGCTAGGAGCAGCAGGGAGAGGGAGAAGTGCTGGGTGAGGCCTGTGGCCTCTGTAGGACACCTGAGCTGCTGTGGGTCTGGCTGTAATCCCCCAGACCCTGTTTCCTGAGGTCTGGGGAGCAGGGGCTCCAATATACCTTGTGTCTCACCAGACTTTGAAATCCCACATAGATATTGGTTGATGGTCTCAGACCCTCCCCTCTGAGACCCTCTCAAAAGGGGTTGGTTGGTATGGCAACTTCTGCCCTCCAAGAGTACTAGCAATACTGGGTCTGCACATGACTTTCTCTGCAGTCCCCAGGTTGAGAGGTCTCCAAGGCCCACACTCCCAGGCCCAGCTGCTCTGTGTGGCAGGGTCACACCACAGACAGCTCCAGGCAGATCCACCTGAGACATGCAGGCTTCTGGACTGCCTTTTGGCTCCCACATTGTCCTGGTGTCCCTGGAGCTCTTTGGACACAAAGCTTCTCTGTCTAGACCCTGACAATTTTGTACAGACAACACCCTGCAGGCCAATCTCCAGAGCCAGGTCAAACCTGGGAGACTCCTGAGAGTGGCTGGCACAGAGATACTACCATGCATTAACCCCAGTCTAATGGGGGAGGCCCAGCCCTGTCCATAAGGCCCTGCATTGGTGGAGGTGACATTGCCCTGATGGACCGCAAGTCACTGGGAGACATAGAAAAGGCACAGGGTCTGGACACGAAGACCCTACCTGAGAGCACCCAAGTGTTGTGGAACCTGATCTGATAGGGAGACAAAGTCACAGGTAAGCCCCACCCTGGCTAGGCCCATGGCATACAGCAGCCCTGCTTACCTGACTTCTCTCTCCTTCCAGCAGAGGCTGTGGTGTGGCTCTGCCTCTCCCAGTCTGTGGCTGGCTGAGCAGGGTCCTGCACCCCAGGGCCCTGGGACTGGCTTTGCTGGAACTGGCCCTGATCCACTCCAGGCATTCCTAGAAGGTCACAGCTACCACTTTGTACCTCCCAGACCCCCGGGGGTTCCCTGGGGTCAGAGGCCACCTACCCACAGTGCCTGAGTGAATCCAGGCACATGAAGGGCAAGCTTAAGTTAAAGCTAGAGATTATGCAGTAAGACATGAGGAAGAACTTCCTGGTCACGGGATGGGAGACGTGAGAAGCTTAAGGTGACCCTCCTCCCCTAGACTTACTCTCACTCCACTTCGACCCTCCAAGAGTAGGTGGGTCTTGGCTTGAGGCAAAGGCAATACTGGGTTCAGGAGTCAGCTGAGGGTCTGACCCCCCCAGAGGGGATGCAGTGGCCTCCAGGATTGTCCCTGCTGGCCTTCGGCTGCTCCTGCCTAAGGAGTTACTCTTCAGATCCTCAACTGCAGAGGGAGGAGGGGCTGTCAGGACCCCCACTTTGCAGGTGGGGAGAAGAGGGGCTGGGAATTGGGGGCTGCACACACATCCCTTCCTGGGAAGGAACATCCATGGGCTCCCATCCCATCCCTCTGGGACATCAGAGCAGGAAACGATACTCCAAGGCATCTCATGGGCAAACTGGGATGTAAACCTAAGCCCTGGCCTCCCAGTCCAGAGGTGTTTCACCCATGCCCACCCTGGGCTGGAACCAGGGGAAGACAGTGGACTTACTCACAAACTCCCTCTGCACCAGCAGGACCGGCCCAGAACCAGTGAGCTCGAAGATCTGCAAGATGTAGCCCTTGGAAGGGCTTAGGCCCCCGACGGTGGCCTTGGGGGTCTTGGTGGTCAGCATTACCTCCTGCTCCAAGTCCCCTGGTGTGGAGTGGGAGAGCTGTCGATGCTGCCAAGGCGGGCGTGCATTTTGTGTTCATGTGTGTGCATGTGTGTGTGTGTGCGCATGTGTGTGAGTATATGCATACATACGTGTGCTCGTGTGTGTGTGCATGCATGAACATGTGTAGGTGGTATGGGTGAGTACAGGGTAAGAAGTCCTCCAGGTTATCCCTCCAGCTGCTCCTCTTAAGGCCAGGCGAGAGAAAAAGGGTGATAAACTGGGTTTCGACAGAGGAACTAGCCACATTGTAAGCGTCCACATGTTCTGCTCCGTGACCATGGCGGTCATCCACATATAGGACTGGATTCAAGTGTTAAAAACAAATCATTCCAAAGGGGACCCTGTCCTGTCTCAGAAGATGGAGGCAGGAGAAGTGGCCTAAAATGGAGCTGGAGAGACACAGACAACCCTACAGACATACCACAGGAAGGGGAGGAAGGAACCCACACTTTGCACCTATGAGGAAAGCAAACCACTGCCTCACATAGTGGACAGTCCCCAACCCATGGTGGCGAGTGACACAGGCAGGAGGGACCCTGTGCAACCCATTGAGCAAGTGAGGGTGCGACGAAGAGAAACGGGAACAGGTGGGAACAATTTGCTTTGGATAGCTAACTTTTTTGTTGGGGTTTGGTTTTTGAGACAGGGTCTTGCTATGTAGTCCAGGCTGACCTTAAACTCGCCATCTTCCTGACTCTATCTCCCAAGGGTTGGGATTGCAAGCATGCACCAGCATACTCGACATGACAGTTAACTTTTATTGAGTGCATGCTGTGGGCTTGGCACCATCCCAAGTGTTTCATGTTGCATCAAGCCTCGTGATCTTCACAACCTCAATACCCAAATAATAAATAGATATATAAAATTATACATAGGGAAATTAAGGACCAACCATACAGCAACCCAGGGGTAGAACCAAGATTTAAATCCAGGTCCATCACATTCCTGTGGTCTGAATGTCCCCTACAGGCGCAGGTTGAAATGTAATTGCCACATAACAATGTATAGGAAAAATACTCCTCTGAATCCTGGCCATTTTGCAACAGGCCACCATCTAGCTGTTCTGTGCGCTGAGGCTCTGTGCCAGACTGCGGCAGAACAAAGCTTCCCACATCTGACGGTGCTCATGGAGACTTTCAAATCTTCTGGTAAGGATAAGGATAGGGTGAACCTAATTGCAGTTTCTCTCTAGGTCTAATTTGCTTCTGTCCTCTGCTGGGCGCCACATTCACTTAGAGCTCTATAAAACAGGAACTTGGGGGGGAGAGCGCAGCTGCCCGTAAGCCGTACAATGCTCTGTAAGTAGCCCCTCGTGAACTCACTTACGTGTCAAGCTAGAGTTGTTCAAGTCATTCCTTGGCCTGTCAGCACCTTCCCAGTTCAGAGGCAGACGTTTCACACAACACAGTGTTAACGGGTGACTAGGTCACGAGGTCACTGACCTCAAGAATAGATCAACGCTGTTATCGTGGGAGCGGGTTCCTGCTAAACAGGAGGACTTAACCCAATGTTTCCTTCTCCCACCCACGTACTTCCACTGTGCTGTAGGACAGGGGCCCTTGTCAGGTGTGCACGCCATTCTGTCGGACTTCCCAGATCTAGAACCGTGAGCCAAATTAGCCTCCATTACTTATCATTGGCCCTGCTGTAGCAGCAGAAAACAGACAAGGACATGAGCCTAGCCGCACAAACGCATGACTGACGTCCGACGACAAAAATGAACACGGAATCAAGACGATGAAAGGAAGCTGCACGGAGGTGTGGTATTCTAAGCTTCTAGAGCCACCCAAGGGTGTGTGGTCTCTAGTGTGGTCACCAGAAGAAGGAATAATGAATGTAACTACTAAGCTGATGGGGACATAAACACCTCATCCCACATCTACTGTTCTGACCAGCATTTTTTTTTTAACTTATTTATTTTTTTGGCAGTACTAGGGTTTGAACCGCCTTGCACTTGCTAGGCAGGCTCTCTACCATTTGAGCCTGCCTCCCAGCCCCCTCCCCGCCCCAGCTTTTTTTGGTTTGGTTATTTTTCAGATAGGGTCTTGCATTTTTGCCCAGGACTGGCCTCAGACTGAGATCCTCCTACCTATGCCTCCCTTGGAGCTGGGATCACAGATGTGCCCCACCATGCCTGGCTCTGACCAGACATTGCATATCTCCTTCTGCACTACAGGAGGTGTGCCCGGCACTACTGATAAAGATCTTGCCAGCAAATCTGACCAAACGTCCAGCATCTAACTGCCAGTCTACAGGAGATGCAGGGGAGAGGGGGGCAAGATAAATACCCCTGCACTGCAAGTGCCACTGCAAAACAAGAACATGGCAATCTCCTTTCTTCTGCAAACCAATGCCAAAGGGAAGGCACGGAGAGGACTCCTATAGACGGAAAGTTACTTGAGACACGGGAGGCAAATCAGACGTGTGGACTCAGCCAGGTCCCGTGGCCATATCTGCAAACCCAGGACTTGGGACAGTGAGACCCTGTCTCAAAAACAAAACAAAGTAAAACAACAACAAAAGGTGTGTGGAGTAATTTAGGATCCTAATTCAGACAAGTGCACTCTAAGAGATACTTATCACACAAGCTAGGAAATTTAAGCACAATATTTAATGACAGTTCTGAAGTAGTTTCAATTTGGGAGATAAGATTCCTGGGGTTGTTTGGGTCCTTGCTTTTAGAGCAATGTACTGAAATATTTACACATGGATTTATATGCTGTCTAGGATTTGCTTTAAGATGATACAGCTCTTGGAGGGAGTTGAGGAGAAATGTGAAGCAATATTGGCCAGATCCAGGAATCTGGGGCTTTAGTACACTGTACTGTCTTCTGTGTGTTTTTACATTTTTTTCATAAATGTATCAGCTCAAAAGGAATCAAGAAAGCAGAGAACAAAGATTTACAAGTATAACAAAAGAAGGCAAGTAGGAATATTGTAGATTTAAACTCAGATTAATAACTGCATTAAACAAAACTGGATAAAATGTTTCAATTAAGAGACAAAGATTGTCTCACTAGCTAAAAATAATACCCGATTTCATGCTGCTTAGAATCAAGAAAGGTTGAAGGTGTGTATGGTGGTACACTCCTGTAATCCCAGCACCCAGGAGGCTGAGGCAGGAGAACTGTGAGTTTAAGGCCAGCCTGGGTTACATAGCAAGACCCTGTCTCAAAAAAAAAAAATGTAGCTGAAGCTTCTTCTTTTCATTGTTGTGCTGGGTGTGATACATCGTAGCTGAAGCTTCTGCTTAGAGGAAGGTTAATAACCTTCGCTCCATATCTTATAAAAGAAAAACTGTGAATTAAGAATCTGTCTTGGGAAGTTAGATAGAACAGAAAGGTAATTCCAAATAGAGTGAAGGAAGTAACAGAAAAGAGAGTAAATTAATGAAATAAAAAGAAAACAAAATAAAGAATGGTTCAACAAACTAAAACGGTGTTTCAGTAAAACACTAGAAAATCCCAGCTACTCAGGAGGCAGAGATAAGAGGTTCACAGCTCAAGGCCATTCCAGCCAGAAAAAAAAAAGGTGAGACCCTATCTGAAGAAACAAAAAACTAAAGGCAAAAAGAACTGGGGGCCTGACTCAAATGGAAGAGTGTTGGCCTAGCAAGCACAATTTCCTGAGTTCAATCTCCAGGACTGCAAAAAAACAAAAAAAAAAAAAGAGAGAGAAAGAAAGAAAACGAAACAAAAGCACTAATAAAACAGATAAACCTCTAGATGGACTGTTGGAAAAAAACCAGAAGATTGAAATAACGAGTAACAGAAGTGGAAGAGAGCGGTAACTACAGACTCCACAAGGCATCTTAAGGATCAGGATAACATGAGTAATTCTATGCCAAGTCATCCAAAAATTTAGATTAAATACAAATTCTTAGAAAAGAACAACTTAATAAATCTGACAAGAAAAAAATAGTCCCATATCCTATTAAAGACACTGAATCTATTGTTTAAAGCCTTTACACACACGCCAGGCTCAGAAGTCATCCCAGTGAATTCTCACAAACATCCAAGAAAGAAACTCCAACACTGCACAAACTCTTTCAGCAAACAGTAAGAACTCTTTCCACCTCCTTCTGAGGCCTGAGTAAAACTGGTACTAAAACGTAGCAAGGACTTCAGGAGAAAAGGATTCCTGACCAACACCCCCTGGGAACCAAAGCATGAAAATCTTAGACAAAACATCGGCAAATCAACTCTGTTACAAACAGGGTGATAAAAGACACAGTGTTAGCAGCATTGTCCCCTGTGGAGTGCTGTGGCCTGAGCCTGGGTTGAGCCTTTCTGGCATCATTGTGGTCCTGCTCCTATAACTTGAGGGTGGACATGGGTCGGGCACTCTTCCCTGAAAGTACCACTTGTGAGCTCACTGGTGTGCAGAGTCCAGGCCATTGTAAAAGTTCCTTAAGGACTCATCCTGAAGAGGGGATCACTGTTTCTTCAAAACACTCCCCAGCACGTTCTGCGTGTTCTATGTGCTGGGGTACAGGTAGGATGCAGAGGCCCTTCCTGTTGTAGGTCCTCTGTGTGAGTGAGGCAGACAGAGAGGAAAGGAACACAGAAATAACAAAGATTGTGTTGGTGATGACATTCCTGCCACACAGCATGGAGCTAGGGACAACGGAGGGAAGCTGCTGGCTGGAGTGGAGCACAGTGACCATGTGTTGACCATCAGTATGACCAGTCCTAGCAGACAGGAAAGCAGAGGAGTGAGGCGCAGGCCCCTTACCTGCCATGGGCTTTACCTGCACCAGATAGCCAAGACCACTGCCCTCAGATTCTCTCCACTTCATCTGCAGCCGGTCCTCAGGCAGCACAGCCAACCTCAGGTGGCCACTCACTGCAGAAACAGGTGGGTGGTCAGGACTGAACCCCAGTGACCAGCTGACTCCCTCCTCTAATTAGCTATGGGAGTCCTGGGGGAGGTGCCCCCCGAGAGGACTGAAGGGAACACAGTCTCATCCTGAGGGACTCTGAAGGGACACAGCCCCACCGAGTGCCTAAGGAGGCCCTGGCCCTATTAGGAGGCTCTTGGGAAAAGGACACCTTCCTTGGTGCTGAGAATCTGGCTTTCGCAGCAACAGAGCTACATTGGAAGCTTCAGCAAGAGGGAGTCTAGTCCCACCTAAGGGTGCTCCCATCCCAAGGGAGACTCATGCCAATGCCCGGTAGGGTAGCAACCAACCACCCTGCGGCGACCAGAGACCCAGAGTCAATGCAGCAGCTGCTCAGGTTTCCCAGTTGTGAGTTGGGCCATAGAAGAGCAGCTGTGCCACTGCAGACCCTTCCAGCTGCCAAGGCCACTGCTGGGTTGATGCAGCCCTCAAGGGCAGTCCGGTGAACAATCCCCAAGTACAAGCACCTGCCTGTCAGACTGCACGCTGATGTGCATCTGTGTGTTTGTGCATGTGCACACGTGTGCACCTCAGCCCTCATGCTAGGGGTGACTCCCACTGTGGAGAGAGGGAGTCCTCTCTCCACATCCTCAGCGGGAGGAGGAGGGGGCAGTGGGGGCCTGGGCTGACCTCCTGGGAAGCTTCCGGGCTCTGTGATGGGGATGGCTATTTTTAGAAACTGGGGACAGAGATGGGCCTCTTCTGGCCTCCCCGCTGTGAACTGGGGCATGCGGAGAAGACAAGCAGGAATTGAGGGTGCCCAAGGCAGACACAATAACCCATTCAGAGTGGGAAGCAGCTGAGCTGGTTTCCGGATGGGGCCGGCTGCTCTGGGAACATCCTACCAAAAGGCAGGAATGTGTTGGACAAGGCGGGGGTTCTAAAAAGCCAGCTGTGTGCAGGGGCCCCGCTTCGGCTCATGAAGAGCCCTCTGTTTCCCCCTCTGACTGCCACATGTTGGGGACTTTCCCAAGCTTCCCTAGGGACAGACAGCACAGGCACATGCCCTCTTCTCCTAACCACAGCTGCACCTTTCCAGGGCCACCAGGACTTCCTCCACCTCCCAGGGAGGTCTCTATGGCCCCAGGACCTGCAGGGATCTCATGAGGGATGGCCTGTCACACTGAGTCCTCAAACGGTGGAGTCACATTTACCTTCACCTGGATTCAAGTTGTTTTCGTATAATCACTTTGTGACTTGGCTCAAAGTGACAACTAAGATTTCCTTCTAACTGAAATCTCACTGGCCCTACCTCAGGATTCTCCTGTCTGAGCAGAAGATGGTCAGACCAAGTGCCTCCCGAGTGAGAGGACAGGCTGGGGAATGAGAAGGCTGCTGGGCTCTGTGGGTGACTGTAAAAGGAAGAAGTGCTCTTAATTCAGATGTCACTAGACCTACATGGTAACTACAGAGGCAGATTCTGTCAGGAACAAGGTGCCACCAAAAACTGAATACTGCTCCGTGGAAGCTGGGATGTGCCAGGAGAGGTTGCACCCGCCCAACCCAGGAAGCAAGTCTGCAGCATGAACAGAACCTCAAAGGTTCCAGGGGACACAGGAATTCGCCTTCTAGGAATTCACCTGAGCTAGCACCTTGCTAGGCAGGAGCTTCCAGCACAGACCTTCCCCTGGGTGCCTGTGCACATCCCTGGGGGTTCACAGCAGTAAACCCTTTCCAGAAGGAACTGTTCCTGTTTGGCTGGAGTGACTAAACAGGAGATGACCGGAGGCACCTGTCATCCCAAGACCTGCGCAGAGAACACACCCTTGTCCTGTCTATTGCCATAATGGCTCTTTTTTTTTTTTTGGCAGTGCTGGGGCTTGAACTCAGGGCCTACACCTTGAACCACTCCACCAAGCCCTTTTCTGTGAAGGGTTTTTTTGAGATAGGGTCTCTCAGAACTATTTGCCTGGGCTGACTTCAAACAGCGATCCTCCTGATCTCTGCCTCCTAAGTAGCTAGGATTACAGGCATGAGCCATCAGTGCTTGGCCACAATGGCTCTTAATTCAGCAGGTATTCCATCTATGGGAAAAATGGCTGTTAGAAAAGCTCAAAGGCCGGCAGCACGGGCTTAGCCTGTGGGGGGCAAGGCACTGTCCCCAGGACTCCCCTCCTTACCTTGACCCTGCCCACACACCAGGGTGGTGCTCAGCCACATCCAGAGGCAGAGGTGGGAGACTTGGGGACTCATGATGTGCAGCCTGCAAGAGGAGAGGCCACAGCACTTCACCACCCACCTGTCCGTCCGTGTGTTCCCTCCCTGTCCACAAAGTCAGATTCCCTGTCCATGACCCTATGGGCCAGGAAGCCTGTCCCCACAGATGTGTCACCATTGAGATATTGCCCCTCGTTGCCACCTGAGTACTCCCTGTGCCCCTCCTGGTTTTGACATTCTACGTGTGGATGCACACAGCTGGGAAGCAGAGTGGTAACAGGACCTTGAGCCTCCAGTGGCCCCACATCCAGGCCTGGATGGACTCCTGCTTGTGAGGGTCCTCCGGCTAGAGATGTCTGATCACTGGACAAAGTGGAGTCCCTGCCAGCCTCTCTAGGTGGAAAGGACATCTGAGACCAGGTCCAGGTGACAGTGGGAGGGTTTGGGAACACTGAGTGGGGTGGGGGGGTTGGGGTCCTGCTTAAAAAGACTGAGAGTCAAGGTCAGATTTAGGCTGCTTGGAGGGACCAATGGGGTACAAAGGAGGACAGGGTGACCCAGTGCTGTCTAGAGGTGCTACTTGGGAGGCAAGGAGGATGGAGTGTGGGAGCTAGAGATGACCTAAGTCATCCACCTGACACCTGCACCCAGGGCTGATAGAGAAAAACCATGTAAGCTGGGCTGGCCTCCAAGTGACCCTACACCTAATCCCTTGCTTATACTGCCTCCTGCCAAGCCCACCTGCAGACCAGAACACTCCCAGTTACCACCCCCTAAGCCCCCGCCCACTGAGCTGAGGGTGACAGTGCAGCCAACTGCCCCTGGTTGGGGCCCTAGGATCCTCCTCCAGTGTCCCGAAGGATCCAGACCCCTGCCCCACCCTGCTCAACAGAGGACTCCCTAATTGCAGACCCTCCCAGTGTGTGCTTAGGGGCAATACCACCAGGGCCACTCCCTAAGGGAATTCCCAGTCCAGTGAGAAGGCTGTTGGCTAATTCAACCCCGCTGCATATCTGTCTCCTTCCAGGAGATTTAAACCAGGCTCCAATGCTGGCCCAGCAACGAGCAAGCAACCGCCATATGGACACCGGAACGGGCAGCCTGGGGGAGATAGCTGCGGACCAGCATCCCCATCTGACCACAAAACATGAGGCAGATAGCTGAGGACTCTCCCAAGCCTGGACTGTCTCCATTCACAGTCCCTTCCCCACCACAGGGCCACAGAGGTCACATCTAGTGAACACAAGCCCAACTCTGCAGGACACCTGCCATCCTTGTACTGCCATGACCCAGGTGTTTGAGACCTCCACAGGGTTAGTGAGTACCTGTGGCAGCCCAGATCTCCCAGGTGCACCTGGTCCCACCTGACTTCACCCTGGCCCTGTGCAATCCTGTTTTGCTGCCTATGAGGGGCTGAGCTCCTATCCCAACCTTTCTGAAAGGTCAAGGTCTTCCAATCACAGACCTGAGGGATCCCCTGGGTCCCATGGCTACAGGCAGGCCACCCACCTCCTCTTGCTCCGAGGATAGTGTCTCTTGCTCCCCAGGGCCATCTGGTCCATTCTGGTCCTGCTGTAGCCACAGGAAGGCTGAGGCTTATAAAAGGTCCAACTCTTGACGTCACTGCCTGGCCCACCCCTCAGCCCCCCTTCCCTTCCCATCTGCTACTGCCTGGGGCATGTCCCAGCACAGTGTGTCCCAACACAAAGGACCCCATCACACAGGGGCAGGGTCCCACCAGGGGCCAGGCACCTTTGTTTCTCACTTGTAGAAGACCTGTCCTACAAAGAGTAGCTCACAGAGAAGGCCACTTGGGGACGGTCACTATATGTGGCCCTGGGCACCAAGCTGTGCACGCTGAAGACTAAAGATCTCTGGTGGGTTATTTGGGGGGGAGCAGGCTAGAGTAGCACCAGGACCCCATTCAGCCTCATCACCCCTTTTCCTGGTTGCCCCCAATAACTCAGCCCATGTTCACACTGCCCTTACCTGGAATATCCCCCCAAAAAATGTCCTCTTGCTTAAGACCCTCCCACCTGCATAAGTCAGGCAAGCATAACCCCCAGCAATGGTCTGGCCTACACTGGTACCCCCAGCAGGCTAGCCCGGGTGACCAGACCCCTTGCCCTACTTGAAGGGGGCTGACCCACCCAGACCCCTACAAACCCTACCTTGACCCCCAACCTCATCCAGGAGCCCAGCAGGGAGACAGCTCTACAAGTGCCAGCCTGGCTGGCCATTTGCCCCTGTCCCCAATGTACTGCCCTGGGAATAGACAGAAATCCAGTCTTCCTGTCCTGGGCCATGGGTAAACCACATTCCTTCTGAGACAAGTTCGTACACACACACACACAACCCAGGACTAGGCGCGCACACACGCACACACACACACACACACACACACCCAGGACTAGGCGCGCACACACACACACACACACACACAGGACTAGGCGCGCACACACACACACACACACACACACACACACGACTAGGTCATGGCTGCCAACTGCTCACAACTGCCCCTTGCAAGGCCACACTTTTCAGGAGATGCCTGGAAGGTTACACATACCCCAGTTCCCTGGCCAATTGACAGTCCATGCAGGAGAGGCACAACCCACTTCCCTGAAGCCCTCCTGAGGGCTCCTGGACCCCTGTCCCACCCTCTGCTTCCGGGGAGCCAGACAGGCCCCATGCCTCAGCTGGATGCTGGAATCTGCAGAACGGAGCCCAGCAGTCCCTGTAGCTCTTGCTGTGGCCACCGGAGCACCCGGTCTGGCATTCCCGGGTACTCTTCTGCAGCCCAGCTCACGTAATCCCAGAAATAGTTGTGTGTAGTAACTCACACCTAGGGAGCTGCTGCGGATGCGCTCAGCAGTCCCAGCTCACAGCACAGTGACCCACACTGGCCACCCTGTGCCTTTTCACCCCAGTCTGCTTGGAGGTACCTGCAAAGCCTGCTTCCTCCAGCCCCAGCCACTGGGGGTGACCCCTAGGCCTGCAGAAAAAAGCCTCTCATGGAGCCCAACCCTGTCTGCAGCCTCAGTACTCTAGGGCAAAGCCACATTCCTGGGTCAACTAGGTCAGAACAGAGCAGGGTCAGTCCTCCCTCTAGCTAACTCTTGCTCAGGGATCACCCTGGGGCTTGCCTATCTTCCTGCTGGCTGCAGCTTGTGGGCAGGGGCTACCCAACTGGGAGTAACAACACAGGTTGAAGGGCTATGATGGGGTGAGGGAGCAACCAGGTGGATGCTCAAAATGCTAGTTTTAAGTTCCAGAAAGGGGAGGGCTGGCCTTGAAATGTTCACCGGTTAAGTCAGTGCCTTGGGCAGCGATCAGGGGCAAACAAATAGCAGACATTGACTTGAGCAGGTGGTCAGCTGGAGCTAGTTTGAGGAGGTGGGGCATCTCTACCCTCCCACCCCACTGGCCAGAGGCTGAGACCAAATTTCAATCAAAAATGGACTTGGGGACCACCCCCCCAGGACCACCACGTCTATATTAGCCTATCTGGCTGTCTGATCCTAAAGCACTGCTCCAGAGCAGGACCTTCAGACCACCCAGTCAGTTGATCTAGTGTACCTGCATGGGGCCTCTCCCAGCTCCTGATGACAAGGACATAGACTGGGAGGGAAGATACCCATGGTACTGTTGTCCAGGTGGGGCCTAGCAGGTCTCTAGAGAGAAGCCCCCCTACCTGGGCCCTGATGTGGTCCAACAACTGCTGCCCACTCAGGCTGAGGGCCACTGGACACTACCTCTTTCCTCCCACTTCCCACTCTACTTCCCAGACTGTCTGGCCCCCTAGAGCAGTAGTCAGGGCTGCCCAGTCCCTTGCTGGGTTGCTTGCTCTCAGGGTAGATCTGGCTTAGAGTGCAGCTGGGCCTGGAGGGAAAGGCAGTGGGCCTCTCCTAGGGTCCCTGTGACACCCAACTACTACAGTGGAAGAAGCAAGGCTGCTGCCCTCACCTCCTCCCCTTGGGGACAAGGAACACCTGCTGGCTATACCAGATTCTCATCAACTGCACCTGAAGGTTAGGGCCCACCAGATGTCCTGTGTTCGTGTGTGCATTACTGGGATTGCCATTTGGTCAGTGCCCCACATACAAGACAAGGGATCGGGATTCAGTGATGCTCAGACTGCACACAACACAGTCAAGAGAGGCCCGGCAGCCATCCTGGGTTCCCTCTGTCCATCCAGTGCCGTGAGGACTCTTGGAAGTGGCTGGAGAGTACCAAGACCTTCCTGTTGAAGCAAACCTCAAAATATGCAGTCCCTCTACTGCATGTAGCATCAGAGGGGACTCTAGGATAGCTGGGGCCATTCCCCCATCCCAATATGCCCTGGGGCAGGTGGCCTCTTGGACTGGAATGAAGCCATTTCCACACTGAGTGAGGGTGCCGGTGTGTGAACAGAAAAACGCTGGGCACCGCACATCCCTATCCAGGGCAGATTACACCCACTTTAGGCTACCCCTCCTCATGTGGTCCAAGCAACCAGTTAACCCATGACCACTGAATTGGGTTACCTCAGCTTAGGAGAAGATCTATGCACCTAGTGAAGGCCTTTCCCTCATGCTTGGCTCCCTAGCTGTTTACTCTGACCTCCTATGGGCTCCTCTCTGCCCTGTGGGCTTCTCATCCTGCACCTCTGACCTCTGGCTTCACCCACCTGCAGCAGGTGTGCCTTCAGTGATGGGATTCTGGGAATCCCCCTTCCCTTCCTGGCTCAGCAACATACTGGACCTGGCCACTGACAGGCTACATGCCACCTGAAGACACAGCACCCAGAAGTCCCCCTGCCCTCAAGCCCAAGGCCCACCACTCTGCAGCAGACTGTGAATCCCCAAGGTGGGCTGAGCACGGGACCCTCGGGGCCCACACAGTTCCCAACTAGTGTGGTGACAAGCACGGCTGCAGCAGGTAGGAGACCACATCACAAACAAACAACACAGGAGCTTCAGGTCATGCACTGCTGGTCAAACTGAGGATCAGACAGGAGTGGGTGCAAGAAGACAGAGAGAGGCCCAGCTGTGCTCTCCAGCCATGCCCGCAGCAGCACTGTCACCAGATCCAACCGCTGGCATCACATGGTGACCCTTGTCTGCAGGGCATCAAAGTCCACAGAGCCTGAGCCAAATTCTTCACGTGGTCCAACAGGCTCAAAGCCTGGATGGGCTCCAGGATGATCAGTGAGACCCAACTGCCACAGGGAGAGACTGGGCCAGAACTGAAGAGACACAAGCCACAGGTACAGCTGCATGCCAAGCAGGCATGAGCAGGTGCACTCAGCTGCATCTGTCCCTGCAGTGCCCAGGCTAGTAGAAGGCCTGGTCTTTGCAGACACAACACCCAGCACAATGCCCACAGGCCCTCTCTTGCCTGGGCAGACCCTGGCAGTGGCCATGGGCTCTACCTGCCCTCATACCCCCTTCTACCAGGTCCCCCCTGGACAAGGGCAGGCAGACATGACAAACCACTCTCCAGCCCTACTTGGCTCTTGTTTCTGCATTTCTGAGCTGACCAGGGAACTCCAGGCTGGCTGAGTTCGTGTGGTATCCAGGCAGAGCCAGAGTCACGATGCTGTGTGTAGCCATCTGTGAAGGGTTTGTCCCGTGACACCAGGGCTGATGCAGGAAAGCCAAGGCGGGTCAGAGCAGTGAGTTTCACAGCACAGGCCACAGGGAGATGTGGACTTGGGAAGTGGGGGCTTCAGATGGCAGTGCAAGCTCCAGTATTGCTTTTGGCATTTCCATCTTTAAGACTTCAGGCATTTTCTTCAAAAAGAAAAAACAACTACAGCAAACCGTTTAAAGTTAAAAACAAACATTTCAACAGAAGCAGTTGTCTGCCATGGCTGACAGTGCTGCATGTGGGTGCAGTCCCAGCCTGTGTGAGGCCCACATCCCAGCAGGAGCAGCGTGCCCCGACAGCGCAGTCCTGAAAAACCTATGAATCCAGGAGGGCTGCTCAGAGAACCCAAGAGGTGCATGGATGGCATACCCCATGTGGTCTTGGAGGGTGCTGCCTCACGCCAGGCAGGTGGCACCAACCTGGTCCTGCCTGAGACACTGTCTTCACGTTTAGGTTGCTTTTTCTTGGGTCAAATGAAAAAAAGGAACAACGAGGGCAAAGTGCAAACACAGCAGTTGTCCCAACAGGCTGCGGTCAGGGACGTGGTGGGGGCCTACCAGTTCTGGTTGTCCCAGCCCTCATCAACAGCCGTGGATGGCGCTGCCTTCTTGGCAGCCTTGGCCCTGCTCTCCCCACTGGCGATCTCCCAGCTCTCCCAGCCATCACTGTTGCTGTTCTTGTTGTTGGATGCAGAGCCTGAGCCCCACACATCCCAGCTGTCCGAGCTCCTCCTCCCTGTCGAGGCATCTGCGCAGGTCCAGCTGTCATTGCTTGGGGACTTTGCCTTGGGGGGCTCGGCGCTCCCGAAGGTCTCCCAGAAGCTCTGGTCTATGGTGCTGTTCTGGATGTTGTCTCCACCACTGTTCTGGTAGCTGTGGCCCTCCAGAGGCCTTTTATAGAGAGAGGGAGGAATTCTCAATAGTTGTCACAGAACCAGATATTCGAGGTGGCATCCCCCAGTCTGCCTCACCTTCTTAGAGCTCAGGAGCCTGGAGAACAAAGACCAGCACTCCACGAGCCCAAACTGTACTTGGATTTGGAACCCCATACACCAGAGTGTGGCTAGTAGCTCCAAGCACTCTATGCCACGCTAGGGGCTACCAGACACTGCCAAGTGCTTCCTAGCCACCCTTGTGGGGACAGAGCACCCCAGGTGGGAACTGCTTCACCTCAGAGATGAGCAAATCTGGCCTCAGTGAGGCTCCACCCTGAGGCCAAGGGGCCCAGAACCTGCCTAGAGGGACTGGCAGCCTCCTGCCATAAGAGCCCATGCTCCATCAATCACCTGAACTTGGAGCATCAGGAAAGAGAATGTGAGCTTCATCACGAATAGGGGCCCTGAAGTCACAGGTGAAGCAGCAGCTACCCTGTGCCTCTGGTAGAGAATCCTGTGAGCACAGTGCTGGGCACAGAAGCAGGACACTGAGCCTAGATACTGACTGCCTTTTCAGGAGCTCATGGGATGTGTCCAAGAAAGGTAGGGGCCAGGGGCCGGGACAGGACAGTGGAACACAGGACCTACAGTGAGAACACAGCATACCTATCCGAGGGATCATCTGCCTTCCCAGAAAAGAAAGTGGTGACATCCCGCCATCCTTTACTGCCAACTCCCTGGACCTGGAAGTAGATGAGAAGAGAGGCTAGCTAAGGTACCATTCTGCACAGCACATGAGCTCCCAGAGGACCTCTGACTGACATAAACACAGGCCTATGATGTCAGGATGAAACTTTGAAGTAAGAATGTCCTGTGCTTGCACACGCACACACATCACTGTTTGGTTTCCCAAAAATGGCCCTCCCCTGCCTTCCTCGCACTTCATCTTAAGCAGTTATCTGCTGTGGCAGCTAGGACATCATCAAGTGCAAAACAAAAGGCCGAGGACTCAGTAGAGACAGGCATTGGCACTTACCACAGGAAGGGCCGACAGCAGCAAGACAAGGGGAAGTGACAGGTTAGTGGCTGACAATTTCCCCCCGCCCCGGTCAAGCTGTTTCCATATTCCTCAAGCCCTGTTTCCATATTCCTCAAGCCCTCAGACAACCAGAGGGCAGTGGCCACTGCCATGGCTGGCCAAGCCCACATACAGCACAAGTGCCTGGGCCTCCTCCTGGGCAACTGGTGCAAAGGCCTGGAATATGGAGACTGGCTTAGGCCACTCCACAAGTCAGTAGTGTTACCCTACCTTGGACGCCAACTGAGAAACCCCATTGGACACATCATCAAAAAGCCTTCCCTCCTTCACCTGTGTAGGTTTAAAGGGCATCGTTAGGGGATTAAAGCTTCAGAGGAAGACCTGAAACCGGCAGGGAGATCTATAAAAAGCCTCCCGAGGCATCGCCCCTACAAGGAGGACCCTGTGCCTCCTCAGACAAGTACCTCTTGCCTAGTCCAGGCTCTTCTTATGGAGTGGGATTGGCAACCCCCACCAGCCTCTGCCTCACTCACACTCTGAGGGGGTGGAGTGGAGGAGGAGGCTCCCATTCCCCTGAGTGCAGATGACCTGTGCCCAGATGCTGGGGCACAAAGCAGAGGGAAGGGTGAGCTCAGGAGAGGTGCACCTGGGGAATGACTGAGCCAAAAGAGGAGGATGGGGGTCTCTAGGCCACGTGGGCCTTGCTGGTCTAGAATGCGGTTGGTCCCAAGTGCCCAGCACATGTCTGCTTCCCTAGAAACAAAGGGCTTGGGTGGGATGGACACTTGAGCGCCCTGACCATCAGTGCTGTCCATACCTTTTCCTGAGCAGGCTTGAGTACGCTCTCATTCAGGCTGTGGCCCAGCTCTGAAGCCTGTGGAAAAGATGTCACATGAGCCTCATATGCAGCCACTCACCACAGAGGAGTCAGCACAGGGCAGCATGAGCTTTGCCAACACAAGTAAGGCAGCAGAATGTGGACACACACAGAGGAAGAGGGCCACAGAAGGAAGGCAGCAAATGACAAGGGGATGGGGGCCAGAAAAGGAAGGCAGCACCCATAGGTCCTCCCGTACGCTCCGCCAGGCCTTGGCACAGGTCAGCTGGCAGGAATAAGCTTCGTTGAACCTCCATGTTCCCATTCACAAGGACAGGAGGAAGGAGGTGGACCCTGTTGACTGCAGGTACCTTCCCCTCTCTAGAACAGGCACTGAGCCCCACCTAGAGGGAGGGGAACAGAGGCTAGGGTCGGAGGAAGAAGCCCTGGGGAAGGATACAGCTTCTCCTGCTCCAGGCACCACCATGGTGATTATGGCCACAGGGCCTTGAGCTCCCAGGAATGTGACAGGGTCATCCCCTTCCACAAGGCCAGGAAAAGCAGAAAAGGGTAAGTCCATGACATAGGAAGGACCCTCCCCACAAGGGCAAGACCCCTTGGGCTCCCTAGGCCCACCTAGCACCAGGCTCGAGCAACACCTGGGCTCTGGATCTGGGGTCAATTGTGGTCCTCCAGCCCTGGCAGCAGGGAGGAGGTGCAAGTGTAGCACACACAGGTGACTAAGCACATGGGATAGAAGCAGCCAGGAACAAAGCACATTCTCAGGAATGGGTGGCATGCACCAGCAGACATGGACTTTACCGGCTCTGGCTGCTGTTTGTAACCCCAAAACTTGACCCAGACGGCATGGAGACAGGTTAGCAGAGAAGAGAGCAAGGTGGTAGGAGAAGGATTTAGCAACACCCAGGAAGCACCAAGAACACGCCCCACGCCTGATTTTCTTCCTTTTTTTTTTTTTTGAGAGAGGGTCTCATTATACAGCCCAGCCCACGCCTTTCTTAAATACTGGGATTATAGTGTGCATCACCAGGCCTGGCCTGAACTGTTCCTAACGACAGCACCAGGTCCTGCACCAGCCTGCTCTAGGCCCCTGCACTGACACTTTTCTGCTCCAAACTTAGCAGTCCAGAATCTGTAAGTGCCTCAGAAACCTGCTTTGGAGACTCTGAGACAGAGACAGAGAAGCACTCCCAAGATGAACGATTGGGGTGCACAGGGCTAGAAAAGCCCCGGGAGGTGGAACTACTTGTAGTCAAGTGCTGCAGGCTGTGGGGTGAAGGGGACTAATCAGAACTGGCCTCCCTGACTCAGGGCATGAAAGTGGGTCCTAGAAACCTACCCACAGCACCATGGGGGACAGCCCACCAGAGCCCTGAGCACCTTGTGGCAACTGTTGATTACACCAAGTTTTAAGGAAAAAATAAATGACAAAGCCTGAGATTGCTACTACCCACAAAAGAAAACAACCCCAGGGAGAGCCAGTTTCCTGAGCTGAGGCCATGTGAGTGTCTGCAGCAGTGATCTCTCTGGCTGAGCAGTCCAAGACCAAATGGCTGTGACCCAGATGGTCCAAGGAGGTTGGCTGCCCAGTGGCCTCACAACATGCACTTGCTGCCAGTGGACAGGGAGGCCCTGAGCAGAGGTAGCCTCCTGCTCTCCAGAAACTGCATAGGCCTGAGGGGACCACGCTGACATGTGAGGATGGGAAGAGTGGCGTTTCTGTGCTGGGACCCTCAGGCCATAGGCACCGGGTCCAAGAAGCTTCTGGATGCTGAACATGACATAGCACACTTGCGAGAGTTTAAAACACATCAGAGGATAAAAGCTTCTTCTTTTTACCTTCTGACTTGCTTGGGATCCGAATTTTGTAGCCTAAAAGGGAAAAAAAAGATGGGGCTTTTTAATCAGAAGTCTTAATCCTGACCACAGCTTTCATCCCTGCAGGATATGGCCAGGCTCAATTCCAGGTGTCCCTCCTGATGGTCATCAGGCTGCCAGCATTAACCTGGCAACAGCTTCAGGTGCCCAGGGTTGCTGTAGGGAGGCCTGGCCTAGCACAGCCACCAGTCCCATGGACTGCCTGGCCAAACACAGGTTAGGGGAGCCACAGGGCCAACTCCATCCTCGACTGTGGGAGTCAGGTATGGCAGCTGCCCCAACACTGCCTTCAGTTGGCCTTCCCACTGCCCAGCCCCATCTACCCTGATGGAGGGCAGCTCAGGGCCTGGAATACCTGGGCACATGCTGCCCAGCACTCCAATTACTGACACTCAAGGAAAGAAGGGAAAGGCCTGGCCCTCCCCTGGACTCAGCTTCTCTCTACAGGTAAGACAGAGGCCCTGGCAGCAACCAGCAGCAGTCACATGGCAGTGATGGTAACAGTCAACCAAGTGGCTTCCAGCTGCTTCTATGGACAGCTGTAGGCACTGCTGGCTTCTTTGCTCTGGGTCAGCTGGTCAAGCTACCTCTGCCCCCATTCCTTCAGTGCCATGACCACATGGTCCAGCCCCAGGCCCATGGTTTCTCCTCGAAGCTGCATCCCATCTGGTTCAGCCTGCTCTTTTCTGCCAGCGTTTGCTGGGTCACTGCCAGAGCCAGACATGCTTCCTTATGCATGATGAGTCTATCTCAATGAAACCCCAATTTTCCCTTCATTCTAGGCAAAAGCAAGAGAATAGAACTCAGCCCATTCTAACACTACTCTGAAGACCCAGAGACAGAAACTCAGGCCACATAGGCGCTGCCACCTACTCATTGAGGGCAAGTTGACCTCTGTAGGCACCTTGTCCCCAGCACAGAGAAACGCCTATTACTACAGCAAGGACTCCTGGGCCTTCCTATAGTCACCAAAGCCTCAGGCTTGCCTCCTAGGGAGTGAGTGAGGCCCTACATGTGGAGAGACCCCAGTGGTCAGAATCCCAGGGCCCCTGTCTCTCAGGACTCCAGGCCAGCAGTGGCCAGTGTACATCCCAAGGTTACTTACACCCTCCTTAGCTGCAGAGGCAAACTTGCTGGCCCCAGTGGTAAAACTGCTCCAGCCCTGAGGAGGCAAGACAGAACAAGCCACATCAGGTTCCACGCATGGCTATGCCAGACCCACGCATGCCAGGCTCCTGGCAGCTCAGTAGTGTGTTTCAGCAGCAGGAGAGAACTCCCTAAAGGTATCTCAAACACCTCTGCAGTCCCTGCATACAGGAGGAAGGAAGCTGCTGGACACTGCAGCATGGGAACCTCACCTCTCCAGTTGCAGTATGCAGTGCATGTCAGCACTGTCCATTCCAAGAGGAAGACTTGAAGAACCAACTGTAGCACTGAGGAGATGCCAGGCCCCATACTGCAGAGGCACCAGAGCATCTCTAGGGCACCTGAGCAGCTCCACAGCCCTGACTCTGCACAGCACCCCACCTTCCTAGGCCTTGGAAGCACAGGCACCTGGAGCCGGCTTAGCTTCTGGCTGAGCTCTAGGTGCTCCCTAGAGAGGAATCTTCAGTTTTTTGAAGAAATGGACCTTGCTAAATTTGAAATATATATTTTGTAGCCAAAATAAATAAGTGACTTTGGGATCTGAATAATGTAAGCCACATTTTTAAAAGAAACTTTCACTGAAGTCAGGGACAAGCACCTTCAGTCAGACCAGACTAAGCACATGCACTGCATTCCCAGACAGTTGCACTGCCCATTTTGGGGGCCGCACTGCCCCGTCTGTGCTGCCATGATCGTGGTGTCCTCACCGAGTACAGGGATGACATGGCGCTATTGAGGAAGTCATCTTCTCTCTTCTGCGGTGGCACAGTGTTCCCAAAGCCCACATAGCGATTCTCTTGGGCCCTGACAGAGAGCACAAACAGCACCAGCCACAGGCATGAATCTCACTTTTCCTGAATAGTGAATCCAGGGCCTCAGGAGGAAGCCCTGACTAGACCTCAAAGTCTTGGCCTCCTAATACACACTACCCAAACCCAGCAATCAGTGTTACTGGAAGAAGCATTGAAAGAACTTAATCTGATGATTGCAGGAATGAAAACCCATTTATAGGGTGGTTTCTTTATTTTCTTCTTCTAAGTATCAGGTTTTCTCTACCTTTAAGACCCCAATTGAACCCTGGGCTGGTTGGGGCTTCCTATAATTGAAATCTGTACATACACACACTGTGCTGCACACAGAAAGAGTGGGCCCAGCCCACTCAACGGACTAAACCCTCGAGTAGTGGTCTGCCCAAGGCGCCTGGCCATCTACACTGTCCTGGCTTGAGAAACCTCACCCTTGATAGGAGTCAAGGTCATCGTTTAACCAGTCTTCAAAAGCCTTGTCCCCAGAGGTAGTCACAGTCTGTGGCTGGCCAGAGGATCTGAAATTGAGTCAAAGGGCAGTGAGATCAGTACAGGGAGGAGAGGGAGAAAGAGGCCTATTACACCATAGGTGGCCCAGCAGCACCAACTAGAACACATAGTCCACATGAGAGGAGCCCTCACACCACATCTGGAAAGTACTGAGATCAGGCCAGCCTCCAGCTCTGGCCTATAGGATGCTTGGGCTTGGCTGTTGAAGCCCCAGCAACACTAGCCTCATAGATATCACAAGTAGCCGGCAGCAGGCTCTGTGCCAGCTAGTAAAGGTAAGGAGGGTCAGGGTGAGGAAGCAGGCTAAGGCCAGCAGTAGTACTAGGACCTTCTGACTAGGTCCCGCAGGAAGGTGGGGCTATGGGGGAGGGGCACTGTTACCTAGTGCCTCCTGTGCCCCATTCAACCCCATACCATCCTTGGGACAGGATGTTCCCTTCAGTAGAAGCTGTGATGCATCCACCATGGGGCCTGAACCCCACGGGGCCTGGGCTACAGGACACCAAACAACTCTCAGAAAAGAGTGACGATGTATTACAAACATTGTCCATATTCCCACCGTATCATTTTTTTATAGGGCTGCCTAACATACCTGGAAGATGTACTGAGCCCACCTGGGGACAGGGAGATGCTACTTTTTGTTCTGGATGTGCCCTTATCAGGTACATTTTTACTAAAAGTTTGTACTGTTCCAGCAATTTAAAAAAGCTGTTTTTCACAATGACATCTGGGAACAGCTCACAATTGGAACTGTTTCCATGAGTGGAGGAAGTAGAGAATGAAGTTTCTATGAAAACTCTGAACTACAGTCAAGATTAGGGCCGGGCTGAGGACAGCGCTGAGACCTGACCAGCAGGCCAGAGGAGTAGCTACCGGTAGGAAGTGGATGGCAGCATCTTGGGCTGAGGTGGGGTCCAGTTCTGAGCAGGTGATGACTCCAGAGACCACGCTCTGCCTTCAGCCAGAGTGGCCACCTGACAAGGGAACACAAAACAGAACATGTATACCATGCACTCAGGCACACCTAGCCACACATACCAGCACCACCCCAGGCCCTGCCCTGGTGCTCAACACCCATGTCTCATGTTTATTCGCTAAGCATGAGTGCTGAGGCCGGTCTCCCATGGACCGTGAAAAATGATAGTTTTTCTCATCAGTGTAGTTCCCAAATTGAAAAGCACAGGGGTTCACTTATTTGGCCCCCAGACAACGGGCTTCCAGACTTCTCAGAGGCACCGCAGCCAAGATGTTCCAGAGGCATTATGATCACTTCCTTTCCTCCCGGTAATTACTGGCCATTTGCTTCTCCTCTGGGCGGGAGGAATCCGCTCTGGAGGAGGCCAGAAGTCCTTGTCTATACCTGGACTGTGCATGGCGTTAATACATATGTCTACAGCTGACTGAAGAAACCTGCCTCCCAGAGCCACTAAAGCCACATTCCATCCACCATGACCCATGCAGAGAGACGAAGCCAGGCCTGTCTTTACCTTATCCCTAAAGAGTGCTGCAGCTCTGCTGTTATACTTGTCCTGCAGGGACCAGCCAGGATCATAATCCTCCTGTGTCTGCAGGAACTCTCGGAACTTAGCATTCCCGCCAGCCTTCATCTTCTCGAGCTCAATGTCCTTCCATTTGTCCATTGTAACAGAACGCACAAAGCTAGAAACCAGAGAGGACTGATCTAGTCACCAAGTAGGAAGAGATACAGAAGCCTTTCTGACTGAGAACAAGTCATGAACAAGACACAGGTGCTTCTTGTGGCAAGACAGAGGCCAAAAGAAGCTCCACGGAGGTTGGCCAGCAGCTGACAAGGCTGGCTGCAGTGTTACTGGAGTGGGGCCACCTATCAGTGGCAGTCCCCAAGCTTCCTGCCACACAGCACTATGGGAAGCAAGCCCCCACCACACATGGACATTAGGATAGATGTAGAACCTGCAGAGACTGAGCAGCATGACACTGACCTGAGGTGCACCCCAAGACCACGGTGTCTCCCTGAGCACTCCAAGCAGATCCAGATGCCATAGGTCACGCTAACCCACTGAGGATTGAATGCGCCACACTCAAAACAAACCTACAAATGGGGCCACATGTGACTCACTAGGCACCTCAGGAGCAAGGAACCCCAAAGACCCAACAGCTGCTCCCAAGCGGGTACAAAGAAAGAGCAAGCAACACATGCATGGCCTAGAAGAGAGCTGATGCCAACAAGTTCTCAGGGCTGCTCAGGATGGTCACAGGGCATGAGGTCAGGACAAAGCTGGAGGAGGCAGAAGAACCTTCCCAGAAACTGGTGTGACGGGAAAGAGCCTCCTGTAGGATAAAAATGTTGAGATGAAAGACCAACCATCCTTAGAAGCCTGAGCAATGTGGCAGAAGCCCCACCTCCTACAGCCTCCTGAGCACCAAGAACAGCTGGCCGCTCCCCCATGATGCTGGTCAGTTACGCCATGACAAGCCACTACAAGGAGGGCACAGTCCCAGGAAGCTCACCAGCCCACCCAAGCACCACCCAAAAGCAACACTCACATTGTTCTCATCTTGCACTCTGACATCTTTAAGAACTTTCCTGGTTCTTGGACTGGCCATGATGCTGCAAATGGAAGAAAACAAATCCTTAACTTATAAATGCCTTATAAGAAAGAAAAGACATTGGCAGGTAAAAAACACTACATAGTGAGAACTTCACAAGAACATCTGCTGAGTTACTTTGAAGCTAGAGAGATGCTGCTTTCTGCAGGCAGCGTGAGCGCTTACACTCTGCAAGGCTCCCAGGCCAGGTCAGCACGGTGCTGAGGAATATCATGAAGCAGCTGGTGGTGTCTCTGCTTAAGCACTGTGTGCCACCAGGACACAGTTAATAAAACCTTCCATCTTTTTGAGGTGAAACTCACAGGAAGGGGTAGCCTTTACAAAACGTGCACAGATTGGCTGCTACATCTGATTTTCCACAATGACAGGGAGCCTGTATACTCTGTACTACCCACATCTCCAACTCAGTGCAAGGAGGTCCCCAGCCTGTAATAAGGGACAAATAAGGCAGCCTAGTATCTTTTTAATTTATTTTTTGGTGGATACTGGGATTTGAACTCAAGTCCTCAGGTTTGGTAGTCAGGTGCTCTACCACTTAAGCCACTCCACCAACCAAAAGGCAGCCTGTTGAAGGGTCTGTATTCTCTGTGGAACTGTCCTGAGGGGTGGCAGAGTGTCACAGTACAAGCAGTGGCCCTGGACTATCGGACCTGTCACAACAATTCACAGGATACTGGTGGGGAAGACAAGAAGTCTCAGGCTAAAGAGAGAAAGCTATTTATTAATTTATTTCTCATAGATCTACTAGTTTTAGCAAAGTTTAGCTTCAACTGGAGGCCTACTTAATCCAGGACCAGAAAAATCAGAGCTAGAGGAAGAGGCTGGAGCCAATTGCAATGTCAGACATAAATTAACTCCACACCAGCACTCATGGGATGGGAGGCAGGACCTGGGCCTCAGGCCATCTCCTTGTTGCCAGCCCACCACTGAGAGCGTGGTCTCTTTGAAGTTCATTGGCCTTTCCAACGAATGGCCAGTATGCTGCTCTCTCTAACTCATATGTGAGGACAGCACATGAGTAATCTGTAAGTGAGAAAAGCTTCACATGGGGCACTACTGAAATGTTCAGTCATAACCTTGCAACCTCACTGTGGGTCTGAAGTAACCACTTACACAGGCTTTCTATTAATGATGCAGGCAAAGCTTAATGTGAGGTGCAACTTAAAAAAAATCAGAAACCCCTGTATTTCATAATCTTTTTTTTTTTTCAGTACTGGGGTTTGAACTCAGGGTCTATACCTTGAGCCACCCTATCAGCCCTTTTATGGGATGGGTTTTTTTCGAGACAGGGTCTTGTGAACTATTTGCCTGGGCTGGCTCTGAACCACAATCTTCCTGATCTCTGCCTCCTGAGTCATTTTTAATCTTAAGTCTACTATAGAAATCAGGACTTCACCAAGGGGAACCCTGACTCTTGACCCACCAAACCCTCAGCATCTATAAGTCCCTGCCTTTTTTTTTTTTTTCCAGTGGTGGTACTGGGGTTTGAACTCAGGGCCTTCTGCTTGCTAGGCAAGTACTCTACTACTTGAGCCATACCTTTAGCTAGAATTCCCTCAGTTTTCACATCCTTGTGGACCCACTTTTAAGGTATGTGATGTCAGGAAATATCTGTCTGTAACTGATTGAAACAAAATCATAAGTTCACCTTAGCTCCCCTCCACTCTGTAATTCTCTGTGCCAGCCAAGTGCCCTGGGACCACAGATTGTGAGGTGAATGCCTGCGTGCTGACTCCTGCCTGCAGGACTCGGGCCTGGCATGACTCACTTAGGCAGAACACTGCCATCACCCAAAGCATCTACTTATGTACAGCACTGAAGGCAGCTAAACATATTTGGAAAAACTCCCTGGTGGTTTTGAGTTTACAAAGCCCTTTGGACTCCTCATAGTGGCCACATGAGGGCCCTGCATGGGACTGGCGTACAGGAACAGCAGTTATAGCAGTCGCAAAGACTCTGCATTTAGCCTTGCCTCCTTCCATACCACTGTGCCTGCAGCTCACGACTTGGTCAACACAACAGAGGCAAAAAAAGTCAGGACCTGGTGAGACCACTCTGAATTCCTAGCTGTGTAAAATCAAGGCAGGACATTCACAGAAACACTGGAAGGAGAAAATGTGCCAAAATTAAATGACTTGGCTTGGATTTGTAACAAACTCCCCTGTGTGATCAATTTTGATCACATAAATTAACTCCACACCAGCACTCACAGAACGGAACGGGAGGCAGGACCTGGGCCTCAGGCCATCTCCTTGTAGCCAGCCCGCCACTGAGAGCGCGGTCTCTTTGGAGTTCATTGGCCTTTCCAACGAATGGCCAGTTATCTGAAATGCTAAGTTTAATAACATGAAAGCGAATAGCTCAACTTTTTTTACCTTGAGAAACAGTCCAAGACCTCCAAACACCTGAAACCAAGATCCTAGAACTGTTCCTCCTTCTCTAAGTGGACACAACTCCAGTAATGTTGAAACAAATTAGGACACTTTCTGACTTCACTAAGCCACCCGTCAGACTTCAGAACATCTGGTCTTTAAAATGGGGAGACTTAAGGACATTGCTTGGTCCTAACGCTGCCTTGGGCAAGGAGGCAGGGAGAAATGCTATCTTTCTCAGAAGTGTCCAGAGAACCCAAAGAATCCATGTCTAAGAACAGCAGCCCTTCCTCGTTCTACAAAGCAGGTTATCTCGGAACGGACGTCCGAGCAAACCTCCTTTACTGCCATGATTAACGGAGCACGGCAGGAGGACGATCCCTGCGTTAAAGGGGCGGAATCATTTCTCTGGATCGGTGGCGACACCGTTTAACAGGGCAGACCAAAATCCATCTCTTCCCGACTGCAGAGGTTTAAGGTCCTGTCTGTCCCTCCCTCAGACAACCACTCACGTCAAAGGCCGCGGAGGAAGCTGAGCTGGTGACTCGACTTCCGAGGGCGAATGCGGTGCGACCTCCCGGGGCGGCTGGGCCGTGCGGACCGGGTCTCGTCGCAGGAGCTCGGGCAGAGGGTGCTGAGGGGACGCGAAACCGGTAGGCGACTCCGGATCCCGGGCCGGACCGGGCAAATTCAGACACCGGGGGGCCCGCGCGGAAGGGGTTGGCCGCCAGGGGTGCTGGGGAGGGCGGCGGCGGGGAGGGAGCGGGACCTCCGGGCGCGCAGTCGCACGCTTACCTGGCGGGGAGTGGGTACGGCCGCCGGGGTCGGTGGCGTCGGGCAGGGCAGGGCCGCCAAAGCTGCACCCGGAGCACAGGTCGCCCACCGGCCGCCAGCAGCTTCCGGCTACGTAGCGCTTCGCAAGGCCTCATGGGAAGCCGGCGGGGCGGGACTTCCTCCTCGTGCGGGAGACCGGAAGTGAGACCCCGCAGTTGCCACGGAGACACTTCCCTTCCGGTCGGGGGACGTGGCTGGAGACCCGGCGGAAGGGGGACGGGGACTGGAGCGGGGTCGGACGGGAGCCCGGACAGAAGGCCACCACCTCCGCCTGCGCGAGGCGGAAGCACTCGGGCCGCCGGAAGGAGGGGCTGGCGGCGGCCACTAGCAGAGAGAGCAGTGGACCCCGTGTGAACGTTGACTCCAAAGAGCTGTTACCGGGGCTGTCGCCGAGGTTAACTGCAGGTGACCTGACCCTCTGTGCCACCCATTCCTCTTTGGCTGGCAACTTTTTTCTTGTTTGGCGGTATTGAGACTCGAACTCAGGGCTCGCACTGGGCTCTACCACTGGAGCCACGCCCCCATACCTGCTTTTTTAGTGTGTTTTTCAGATAGGGTCTCCCTAACTTTCGCTTGGGGGGCAAAAAAATGTAGAACCACAAAAAAATCTAGTTTTGCGATGACTTCTTTCCCACCCTGATGTTTCTGAGATTCTTTGGGGTCGTGTATCAGTCCCCTCATTGCTCCGTGGTCTTCCATTGACTGCAGACGCCGCAGTCTGTCATCCATTCGTAGCCATCCCATGTGGGACACTGGGGTCGTTCCGAAGTTTTTTCTAGTTAAGAAGGCTATTATGAATGAAGCTGCCTTGAACTGTTGTGGGCATATTGTTTATTTCTCTTTATGGGAAAGTGATGGACTGCGTTCTTCCGCCGGCAACATGCCAGCTCGGGTTTGTCAGACTTGGCTGCAGCAAGTCTGGCGGTACAGAGGGGTGCTCCCCGCGTTGCAGTTTGTTTGCATTTACCTGGTCACTGATTGAAAACTGCTCTAGGTGTTCTTAACACCGCTCTCTTCCTTCCTGCTGCCCTGCACTTAGCACCCTCCTGCAGCCAGAGGACGCCCCTGGGGGGGGGGGTCTTCAGTGCTTAAAGTGAAGCCTTTGCGTGCTCAGAAATGATGTAGGCCAAGGCAGTGAGGACAGGCTCAGTGAGACGTTGGTACAGCGTCTACTATCAGATTCTCGATCAGGGCTATAGGCTCCACGCTTTCAAATAGTGGGAGCTGGGAGCCGGAATAATCACAGTGGGCTTCCTGGGAGAGGCGGACTGAAGGAGAGAAGTTGAAAATGAAGGGGTAAGGGGTGCTGGAGGTGTGGCTTGAGCAGCAGAGCACCTGCCTCCTAGGCACCAAGTCCTGATTTCAAACCCCAGTAACCACTAAAAAAGGTAGGGGAGGTGGCAGGGTGGAGGGGGGGAAGGTATTTCTGAGAAGGGCACAGTTGACACCAACATCTGGCAGTGGGTAATCAAACAACCAGTGGAGGCTGTTTCCAGTTCTCTGATCATACAGCAAAAAGGTCACTGTTGTCTCATCACTCCCCCCGCCCAACTCCATGTTGTTTGTGTGTGTCAACCCTGGGGCCCACACTCCTAAGCTGCCAGGATGGATGCCCTGGGCTTGGTGAGGAAGTTCATCTGACCCATAGCAACTGCACATTGTTTCTGATAGGAACCCACTGTTAGATGAGGAAACTGAGGCACAAGACAATCCAGTAATTTCTTCAAGATCAAAAGGTAGTAAGGGACTGGGGATGTGGCTGGAGTGGTAGAGCACTTGCCTACCAAGTGGGAGGCCCTAAATTTGATCCCCAGTACCTCAAAGAAAAATAAAAAAGACAGTGAGTATTGGAGCCACCCCAGAGGGCCCTGGCTTATTCTTACCAGAAGGCTGCTGTGAGCACCAGCAGACCCCACATGCAGGTGGTTCAGAAGCACCTCGGCCCATACCCCAGCATAGCTGCCAGTTGGAGGCCCTAGGCTGCTGTCCCTCCTGGTCGGGGCATCTTCCCTCTCTGGGAACTCAGGCCGCTCTAGGAAAACACCACTGCCTATATCAAGTGCCACAGATAACAGGGCCCTCACCTTCCCTTTGTGCTCTGAAAACATCCCCTGAGTTGGACTCAGCCCGGGGCCCATACCCTTCCACTCCCTGTCCAGGGAATGTCCCACCATGTTCAGCAAGCCTGTGGCCTCCGCTGACCTCCAGGGACAGTTAAACCCCCAAGGTTCCATCAGAAGCAGCTAGGGATGTGAAAATGATATGGTTAGGACCTCTGTCACTTCATTGACCACCAGGGTTGATTCAGCTGATCTGTAAGTGGTATGTATCCCTTCCTCCCTCACTGCTCTGTGTGCATCCCCCTGAAGTAGCACACTCAGTAGAGAAGGATGACCTTCTCTGACAGAGGAGAGCCCTTGTCCATCAGGAGTATTCGAGTACCTGCACCCCCTGCTAGATCCTCCAAACAGGTTCCCAAGAAGCAGCTGATCCTGTGTCTCCTGAGAGGGCATGGAAAAAAGGGTTGCCAGGATGAGAATGGTATAGACTATCCAGGTAAACCAGTGTACAGTGGAATCAGGAATCCCACAGCATGCCTGTTGTGGGGTGCAAAGAGGACCCAGACTGCAAAGGCTCTCCTGTGATGGAGTAAATTTTGACAAAGGAAGTGCCTAGTAATGTGGGGTTGACGGTAAGGAGCTGGAGTGGCCTGAGCCCAAGGGAGGAGCCAAGTCCACAGAAGTAAAAGGAGGAGTGACCCTACATCCTTGTCACTGGTCTCCCATTATTTGTCCCCAATTATGTGTCCTCCACTTAGCAAACACCCTGATGCAGAGAACATACAGGACACGTGCAGCCCACGGGATGAGGCCGTCTGCTGTGCAGGGTTTCAAACACAGTGGAGCCTGGAGTGCCTGTCCAGAACCTATCCCCAGTGGTGGGCCTCCTGGGTGCCCACAGCTCATTGCATCTCTTCTCCAGGGTGGCTTCCTGGCCTGGGGACCATACATTATCCAGGTTTTAGCAAACAATTGACAGGCCCCTTCATCATTGGTTGGGTTCACTGACATGCCTGGGGTCAGGTGGAAGCTAGTCTCCAGCTGAGAGACCCTCCTGCTTAGCCCCTGCTAAATTCATATGTTGAATCCTTACCCCCAAGGAGAGAATGCTTGCAGGTAGAGCAGGTAGAGTCCCCTTCCTCCCACATGAGGGCAGCTCGATGAGATGGTGCCATCTGTAGGGCAGAAGGACCTCTCCAAACCTGCAATCTGCTGGTGGCTCCATCACCTCCATCTTGAGCTTCCAACTCCAGAACTGCAAACAATAAATGTGCATAAGTCACCCACTCGGGTGTCCTGGTACAGTCACCAGAACAGACCAAGATGAGCACTTCCCAGTGAGCAGCATGCACCAGAGCCCCCATCAGGCTGCATTTCCAGAATCTCTGACCCAACCCAGGCCAGCTTCTGGAGCTGGAGCTGGCATGATGAGGCCAGCACCTCTTGTGAAGGACAGGGACTGCAAAGGGCAAAGTCCTTCATGGTATCACCAACATCAACCAGCAAGCTCAGATCTGGTCATCATGAGTAAGCCCCAAGCCATCATGGGCCATTCCTGGGTGAAATGGGTACAGCCTGTGTTCAATGTGTCATCACTGCGTTAGGCATAATGCTGCATCCACAGGCAAAGCCCAGGAGTAGGAACGACTTAGGGAGAGGAGACAGGTTCAGAAAGGTACAGTGTCCTGCCCCAGGTCTCACAGCTAGGGTGAAGTGATGCGAGAACTAGACTGGGTTTATTTGAGACAGAACAGCAGTGCCCTCCAGCCCTTTGCCCCCGTCCCCCCCGCCCCCCGCCGCCATCTGCATCTACTGAACCTGTCCTATCCAGATATTTCTCCTTTTTTCCTAGACCCCACTCAGCATCATCAGCCCACAGAATAAAGGCATTTGAGGCCTCCCAGGAACTTGAGCTCTACTCCAATCTTTGCCCCACCCCTCTGATCCTGGCAGAAGGCCCTCCAGCCCCTACATACTCACCCACGCCCTGCCCTCCCAGTCTCAAGCCTGGGCAGATCCTGGCCATTCCTCTGGGCCCTCTGCCCTGCATACTGCCCCAACCCTCAAACCCTTGCCCTCTTTGTGTCTTGCCAAGGCCCAGCATGGAGACAACTCCCAGTAAATTCCCATGGGTCAACAGCTGGATCCTGTGTTGCCACCAGGATCAGGGCATGGTCAAACCTTGGTGGGCAGGAAAGAGTAGACTGGCTTCATATGGGACTGGCTCCAGCAGGAGCCTGGAGTAACTGAAAGGAGACATCTTACAGCTTCAGGATTCTCTAAGGGGTTCTCAGGGGCTGGAGATCTGCAGTCCCAGGGCAGGCCCCTTGGAGGTGGCATGGCCTGCAGTTTGGAAGGACCAGACTATGTTTTCTGCATAGGCGTTCATCTAGTCCTGTGTCACTTGACAAGCGGATACATTCTGAGAAATGTGTCACTTGATGACACAGAGTTTACTCACACACCTGGATGGCGCAGGTCAGATGGTAGACATGGCCTCTTCGTGCAACCAAGAGACGCAGCGAACACTAGGTGGAGGAGGCTGTTGCCTTTTAATGTTATGTGTTGGAGTATGCTCTAAAATAACAATAAAAAGCATAATAAATGTGAAAACCAGTAACACGATTGTGTATTACCTTATCAAGTGTTGTATACGGTACAATGATTGCATGCCCTGTTTTTATAGGACGGGCGGTGCAGTGGTCTGATTGTGCCACACACATGAGGAGTGTCGTGCTATGACTTTACCATAGCTATGACAACACTAGGCCCCGGGAGTTTTTTCATCTCCATTGGAATAATATGGGACCACAGTAGTATATGTGGTCTGTCATTGTGGAAGCGTCCGTAAGAGGCACACGGCTTTCCCTGCCACCCAGTGCTTGACTCTGACGCAGGTTCCTCTCGTCAGTCTCTATAGCACGGCCTCATTCTTGACTGCTGCCCCTGCTTTAATTTACTTACAGCCTGGGAGTTTATCATTGTCATCATCACCACCACCATTTTCC